AAATCGAATAAAGCCCGGGACAAACTGCTACGACTATCACCAACCCAGTTCCACGAACTTTCCACCGATGTTTACGACGAATTGATCCGGCGGCAGCAGGCCTCGCCGCCTCCCGGACGGCCACCTCGTCCGGACGTGCCTCCTTACCTCCCCGCTCGCGGTGACTTCCACGAAAAGCGCAATCATGCCCGCCAAAAGCTTGCCGCGCTCCACCACGTGCGTTTCCGAGATCTGGCGACCGATGTCTTCTGTGAGCTGGAGCGCCGTTTCCCGCATTTCACTAGCCGAGAATACCGCGGCCGGCCGCCTCCAAATATGGGCCCTCCCAGTGCTCGTACCTCGCAGCAGTCTGCTCGGGGACCTCCTCCCCCTATGGGACGGGGTTATCCGTCTGGCGGTCCCCCAGGCAGTCCATTTCCTCCGCGTACTGGCTCTCTTGGAGGTCCACCGAGTATGAATGGCGATGGACCGTTTCCTCGGTCTTTCCAGAGCAATACTATGGTTCCGAATAAAAGCACAATGGTCGAGGATAGCGATGATATGGGGCCAGAGGACGAGGATGATGCTCGGAGTGATGCGTTTGCTCTAGATGCTGTTTTGAGCCGACGGGGTACTACGACAACCTTAGGTGATAGTGAACGGAAACTGTTACTTGAGAGCCAGTCACAAGTATCGGTTCTCCAAGAGAAGATTGAGAAATTGGAAGAATTGGTCCGCTCCAAGGACGAGGAGTTAGCCCAGTCATCGCAGGATGCAGATTCCTCCGGGATCAGTCATAACGAACGCCAGGAGTGGGACGAATTACGACACGAGCTTGAGACCAAGGTATCAAAAGCTGAGGATCTGAATAGCTCGCTTCAGCTAGAGCTCGAGCGGGTTAGAACTGAGCATGACGCCATGGAACGCGATCTTCGCAGCCAGCTCAATGACTCTTCTCGGGGTGTCGATGACGCTGGTCTACAAGCGCGGTATGTTGATCTAGAGACCCAGCACCAGAAACTACAAGCAGAGCTGCAGCAGCAGCAACAAGTGACCGACGAGGTCCGCCGCGAGGCATCGACTTTCCTCTCGGAAATGAAGACCCTTTCAGCTGAGAGTCACTCCAATTGGGAGCGCGAAGAAAAGCTCTCGAAAGAGGTCCACAGACTCGAGGCAGATGCCAGCGAATGGAAGAACCGCTACGCTAAGGTCAAAGCGCAGCTGCGGCATCTTCGCACATCGTCTGGTGGTTTCCCCGATTCACGGCCCGACGCAAGTTTTGTTGCCAAAGAGCATGAGTTGGTTCAAGCCGACGGGCTGGTCAAGGATATTCACGTTACTAAGTTCCAGGTGTCTGTGGATGAGCTCCTGCGATTTGCGCGTTTTGAGGAATCGCATGTGGTACTCCAACAAATCAAGACGGTCATTGCAGCAGTCCGCCATATTCTCCAGGACGTGGAACATTCCCCAACCCCGGTGGATAGGTCGGCTGCCCTGCGCGCAAATGTCAAGGGCCAGGTGTCTACCACAGCAAACAACATGATCATTGCCACGCGCAACTTTGCCAGCTCTGGTGGTCTATCTCCTGTGTCCCTCCTTGATGCAGCGGCCTCGCATCTTTGCACAGCTATTGTTGACCTGATACGGGAGGTGAAGATCCAGGCATCGCCGGTAGATCAGTTGGAGGATGAAGATTATGAGGATGTATCCCAGGAGCAATTCCCTGAATATTTTGATACATCTGCTAGTCAAAAGCGGATGAGCAATAACTCCGTCTACAGTGCTATAAGTCGTCCTGATGAATCTCAATACCCTGTGCAGAATGATCCCACCAATGACCTCAATCATGGCTGGGGGCATGTGCAAGAAGATCATGAGGTGCTGGAGCTTAAGGTGAGTCGATCTGAGAAGCACAATCTCGCAACGAATTATCTACTGACGGGTAATCCTAGCTCTATGTCGAGGACCAGACAGATGGCATGGTTCAACAAATCCAGGCTTTGGTGGCTAGTATCCGAGCCGAGGACAACCTGCAAACTGTCCAGACACACGTCTCTGCCATTTCGAACGTTGTTGCGAATGTAGTTTCCGCTACAGAGCACTTGATGCGCGAACGCAGCGGAGACGTCGCTTTGCGGCAGACATCTGAACCAGTTATCGCAGCATTGGACCAGTGCCGCGGCCGGTTGATGGCCACTGCTGGTGAGGGTGAACACGCCACTACTCCTGAGCAATTGCGTGAGCTCACAACCAAACTACCTCCCATTGCATTTGAGATCGCTCGGCAGACCAAAGAGCTTGTTCAGCGTCTCGAGGATACATCAGTAGTTGCTGACGATGAAGATGACTTCCGGTGATGAGCTATTCCAGACATTCTTTCTCATGAACTCGGGGCTACCTATTTTGTCTTTGTTTCCCCGAATTTTTGTTCATATTCTTTCTTCTTTGCCCCTTGCTTTTCAGCGACTATTCCTCTATGGCAACGAGTGGACAATGTCGAAACGATATCCCGACATATGTGACATTTATGCATTTTCTTTCTCTTTCGTCACTACTCTTTCTTTCACATTTTCCTATTCTTTGTACTCTATTTTAGCCCCTTTCCATTGTTCATCTAGGTTTTTCGGCCTGATTTCATGTTGATTTGTTACTCTTTTTTTTTTCTCACGACCGCTTGCTGGTACCGGGCTATTTTCTTACATTTTGGATGCTTACAAGTGAAATGAAAGTACTCCGTATATCTCCAGCTCAATGACTATACCAATATTCAACGGAAGTTACCCCTTTAAAGATATGTACATACCTTCTCGTAGCCAAGACTGCTAGTTCGGAAGGGATATCCCGGAAGTCATTACATAATCACGGAGCTCTAGACGCTTTTTGGCATTGAGCTTCAGTTTTTTCCTTCTTTCTACTTCTTAATCCGCATTTCTCATCAATCTATACCATTTGTAAGTGAGATTGATTCCTTGTCATGTGAATGTTAGAGTGCATTTCCGCTTTGCTCCAGACTCTTCCAAAGACATCATTAGGCAAGAGAAGCAGTCAATGTTTTCCCCCTGGGAAAGTCTGGAGAAGCTCTAAAGTGGAGCCTCAGGCAGAAAACTGCACAAGTGGTCTTTAGGTGAACCTCAATAAGCTAACCCCAAAGTAGCCCGGCACCCGAGTTCACCCGCTCCGCCCTGCCCCTCACCATGTTCTGCCGACTGAGGTCAATAACCCCACCCTCTTCCCTCTTCTCTTCTTCTCTCTTCAATTGCACTTCTTTCCACCCCGCTGCCCGATCTTTCGCTTCATCAACCGCCGCTATGTCCAACACCTCCGCTTTCTTCGAGGTCCAGTACGCCCCTGCTGGCTCCTCCACCCGTAAGTTTCCCATCAGCTCTTGTTCTCATCTTTGGCCGGGCCAGAGAGATTTTGCCTCCCCCGCCCCAATCTTACATTGCTGCCTCCAACCTCGAGCTTTGGATTTCAGTACCAAAGCTTGGCAATCTCATATCATGCTACATTAATTGGAATTGAAATTGATGCTGATTCCCTCATTAGCCAAGATTGGCCGCATCAACTTCAACCTCTACGCCAGCGAGGTCCCCAAGACCGCCAAGAACTTCGCTGAGCTCTGCAACGCCAAGGAGGGTGAGGGCTACAAGGGCTCTTCTTTCCACCGTGTTATCCCCCAGTTCATGCTCCAGGGTGGTGACTTCACCCGTGGCAACGTGAGTTTTTTTTTTTTTTTTTTTTTCTTCTAATCTTGATAGTCGCTGCAGTGATCAGTTTCTGACTTTTACTTTGCCGGAATAGGGTACCGGTGGCCGCTCCATCTACGGCGAGAAGTTCCCCGATGAGAACTTCATCCACAAGCACACTCGCCCTGGTCTCCTGTCCATGGCCAACGCTGGCCCCAACACGTAAGTCTCAGTTTTGTATCCCAGCTACTATCCACATACAAAGTGATACTAAACATTTCCTCCTTTTTCCAGCAACGGCTCCCAGTTCTTCATCACCACCGTTGTCACCTCGTGGCTCGATGGCAAGCACGTCGTCTTCGGCGAGGTCGCTGATGCCGAGTCCATGAACGTTGTCAAGGAGATCGAGGCTCTCGGCTCTTCCTCCGGCTCCATCCGCTCCGCTGTCAAGCCCACCATCGTCAACTGCGGTGGCAACTAAAAAGCTCATCCTGGAGATTTAGTTGGGTTTTGGGGGGATGAACGTCTTTCTTTTCGTCATGAAGGTGGTTTTTTTCCCGTCGCTACAGTGCGGCGTGAGACTAGCATAGGTGGCTTTCCCTTTTGCGCCTTGTAATCTAAAGTTTCTACCAAGCTAGCTCATACATGCCTTTCTGTCGTGAGGACTTGATTTCCAACTTGTAGATTTGAGATCCTAGAAAAACGAGTATGTTTGACCGGTTTTGTACGTTGTATAGAGGGGCAAAGCCACAATCCCTGAAACCTGCATCAATCAATGCACATTTCACGCTGATCCACTGCAAAACATTAAATTGATCATCAAAACCAGCGTATTACAAGTCCTCCCCTTTCTTTTCCCAGCAGAGACATCCACATGTCCGGTGGTGATTCGAGGATTTTGATCGCGGGCCCAGTCTACTACATCACCATACCCCGCGTAGGATGGCACCTGGGCAGTTTTTTTTTTTTTCCTGAATGGAAAAGGTTTCCCACCTTTACTTCCGATGGAAAGTTCTGTGATATTAATATATTAATAATGTTGGCTCTATGCATATTCTACATTAATTAGGATTTATATATTATTAGAGGGTAAAGTAGAGAATATTTGGCATAGAAGAGCCCTGGAAAAAGGGGTCCATACGTCATGGAATTATCGGTGAGATCGAGTAAGCGGGAAGCTAAATCTGGACAGCAAAGCTGCATATTACCACTCTCTTCTTTCGAAAAAGAGAAAACAAATAGGATATCACATGGAGCCCATTTAGAAATGCTGGAGTAGAATCAAATCCTAACTAGAACCTGATGTTAAAGACAACGCCGTACAATGACACTAGTTTAACCGCAGCACTTAGTGACCGACAAAGCATCTGACCTGAACAAAAGGCATGTTAGCACTGATAAAATTATAGTAAGTAATACACGCTGGACGAGATAACTGACTCCTTGTTCAAGTCCACGGGCTCCCAGGAAAAGATAAATGCGCCCAGGAAAGCACCAATGAAGATACAGATGATGATGTACCCATTGAAGTACATAGCAAGCAGCATGATAATGTACGCAACAGCAAATTGCGCCATATGCAGCAGCGAGCGCACGGAATGCTCAACAATCGACGGACGATACAGAGCAAGCATAGTCTCCCGTCTCTCTCGCTGGACAACATCCTGGGTAGTCCTAGCCGACGCAGCAGCAGCCTGCTTCTTCGAGACTCCATTCTGGGAAGTACCCGACTCAGGAGCAATGAGGCCGTCCTCTGCATTGAAGAGCATAGTGTCGGGGTCTGAGTTTCCGCCACAGCAGTTGCCGGACGGTTTGGTGGTGTCTTCTTCACTTCCCAGGAGAACGTTCGAGATGGATTGCGCGGTAGAAGAGCCCGGCATGTAGAGTCTTCTCAGACGGGCTCGGCGCACAATGAACGAGTCGTATTCTCGGCCCACACGGCGGAGGAGCTCGAGGCTCAAGACGAGACAGATCACTCCAATGCATGAGCCGGCGAACATGCCGCGTGAGGTTATGTGCCATGATCTGGCGAGGAAGCCTGGGGAGTTGGTTAGATTTGTACATCTGTCGGACACTTGTATGTAGGGATGACAGGGCGGCGTACATGCATCAACTGTGTACCAGTTCCACAGCATCTGATGATCGTGAGTCAGCTTGAATCTAGTGTATAAAGCAGTGAAGATGGGGTTGATATTGGACGGACCGAGATCTTGCAGCCATCGCCCATGCTCATTCCCCCCATTTTCATTCCGGTGCTGCTGGCCATAGCTGCTGAAGCTGTTGAAGTGGCCATTGGCATGTTCATCCCGTTCATATCCATGATTGACTGGGGGCTTGGGACCTTGGGGAGCACCGAACTGATGTATCCTCGCGTTGACGAAGTCAATAGAGAATGGAAAAAAAGTATAGCAGGTGTAAACAAAGGAATATAGAGGATGGATGAGCTCCTCAACCACGTGGTTATGCCCTAATGTGAGCAATATGAGCAGATTTATAGATTGGCCATAAAGTTTAGTGAGGTAGTTTGAGCAAATTCTCGGATGCGTGACTGGTAACATTAAACGTAAGACAGGGTATCAACTTGAACTATTCTCCGATTTGAATCTCCTTTGTGGTTTGGTTTTCTTTTCTTTTTTTTTTTCTTTTCTGCGTCACCCACGGGATCCTTTGATGACACCTTCCAACAATTCGCGGATCTGACTGCACCCATCGATTCCGACCGCCAACATTGTATCAAGGTACGTAGCGTGAACCTTGGTCTCCATAGTAAGAACACAGACCTTCATTGCCTCCTCGTCCTCATCCATATTGTTCTCGCCAACGGGCACCGCTGTCGTCGTCGCAACAGTGAGCGAAGGCAGTTCCTGTTCTTCTGGGAGCGACAGATCCAGCAGTGGATCAAGCTCGTCGTGTCGCGGGTCACGCGGTGTAGAGGCGCTGCCGCTCATGCCGGCAGTACAGCCAGTGAGCAATCCCGGCATGGGGATTCCGGCATCCACGAGAGCTAGAGTAACGGCGTTTATCGCTGCGGCGAGCAATGAGCCATCGGCGGAGAGAACGGAGACATGGATGCTGATTGTGCTGTGGGGGTAGAGGTAGGTGTGGAGGTGGGACTGGAAGGCTGAGCGGAGGGTTGTAGCAATTCGCGATGATTGCCTGTAATCCGAGATTAGCATTGGCTGGATCTGAATCTAGTCTGCTGTCCCTATTATCCTCTTTCCTTGTCGCAGAAAGAGGCAATGGGAAAGCATAAGAGGGTGCATACCTGTCACTTCCCCCAGCTCTCCGCTTGCGATCTACGCCGGCAAACCCAGCGACGTTAACGTCTACTTCCACGACTGCATGCCCACTTCCTGCAGCTCCGCCTGCGCCATCTCCTCGGCGACCCTCGGCGGGGCCGTGGACAGAGCACATGATTGATGTGTTGCCCATTGACAGGTATGAAGAGCCAGAGCTGGCAGGGTTGGTTGAGATCTGGGCTTGGAGCAGGCGCAGCTCGTTCCAGCGGCGGCCATCAAGGCGCAGCCGTGTCAGGGGATATGTTGTCGAGGTGTCTAGCGGCATCTTTGCGGGTTGTTGAGCTTCTGATAAGAACGGAGTTTGTCTTGAGCAAAAAGAGGGTATGTCAAGCAGGATGTCAAGCTTTATTTTGTGTCCTCTGTAGGCTTGGGTTAGTCTGGTGTGTCTTGATTGAGGAATAACGAACGTAGAATATTGTTCTTGACTTACGTTGACTTTATCGTATATGCAAAGAATCGAATGCCAAACCAATGAGAGCATCTTTTTTCCTGGTTCTCTTGCACGTGACCCAGCTTTTATCTTAAATAGTGTCGAAGAATAGTGACATATATGCAAGAACACTTCAATATGTTTTTTGAATGTTCTTTTTAGATGTCTTTGAAGATATTTTTCAAATGCACACAAAGAATACAAAAGAGATAAGCACTATGTAGACTACTTTTCTATGTATAACAAGGCATCGAAGCTTTCTTGGGCGAACAAATTGACTTTTGCATTTTGGCCACTATCCCCTGCCGTACTTGACGCTGTGTCGCGACTGTCTGGTACTCCCACTTCGACTTACACTCTGTCACCATTTGAGCTCTGTTTTTAGAAATGCAGAGAACATGGCTAATAACGATAGCACTGAGGAGGTCATCACCATCGATTCAGATGATGACGACTTGGAGGTAACGCGCTATGCGACTCCGACCGCGAGTAGTATGACACCTCTTCGACGCGTTTAACAGGCAGCTCACGTTCTCTCGAGATAGGTTTTCCGGTGTGAAACACGGGACCGCTACACCGACTCAACTCGAGTCACCGCGTACTCTTCTTTCTGGGTCATCGAGCGCTGTAAAAATCCAGCCCGTGGACAGCGATGAGGAGGACGCCAACGATGGCGAGCTAGCGTACAAGAGGTTCAAGGAGCGAAAATCTCTTAAGCGCAAACAAACTGCTGCAGCAACCCGAAAAGCGAAAATGCCCAGGGGAGACCAAATCGTTGGTCGAATTAAACAAAAGCGACCAACGCCTCTTCCTAAACGGCCATTAAAGCAATGGGGTGACTTACCATCGGAAGATGAGCTGGAAAATGATTTGCCTGGGTACCTCAAAAACCGTCGCAGCCAGTTCGACCGGACGCATGAACAGCTACAAGCTCATGGGCTGAAGCTACCACCCACCTACGAGGGTGTGGATTTCTCGGATGATGAACGGCTTGAAGAACTTCAAGAACGTCCTGTCTTTCCGGAGAACACCCGAAAGCAGGAGTACAAGGACATCAAACTTGAATATTCGATGGGCATTATTCCTGCGCCGATCGCCCAGTGGTTGCGGCAGTATCAAGTGGAGGGAGCTGCGTTTCTCCACGAGCTATTTGTATATCAAAAGGGTGGTATTCTAGGAGACGACATGGGTCTTGGGAAAACCATCCAGGTAATTGCTTTCTTGACTGCTGCATATGGAAAGACAGGGGACGAACGGGACGCAAAGCGCATGCGAAAGATGCGCCGGTCTGATGACAGCGCTTGGTATCCACGCACGCTCATCGTGTGCCCTGGAACTCTTATTTCAAACTGGAGGGCGGAGCTTGCGCGCTGGGGTTGGTGGCATGCTGAAAGCTATCACGGGGAGAACAAGGACCTTGCGCTCCATGCAGCCAAGTCAGGGAGGGTGGAAATCCTGATTACAACCTACACTACGTACATGAACAACAAAGACGCTGTCAATATGATTGAATGGGACTGCGTGATCGCAGACGAGTGCCACAAGATCAAGGAGCGCAAGTCGGGAACCACCCAGTCTATGAACGAGATCAATGCGTTATGCCGGATAGGACTGACCGGTACGGCCATCCAGAACAAATATGAAGAATTATGGACTCTTCTCAATTGGACGAACCCTGGCGTTCTGGGTCCAGTAGCCACATGGAAGGCACAAATATCAGAGCCACTGAAGATCGGCCAATCGCACGATGCCACCCTGAGCGAGCTCAGTCGAGCACGGAGAACAGCCAAGAAGCTGGTCGAGAACCTACTTCCGCAATTTTTCATCAGGAGGATGAAGTCTTTGATCGCGGATCAATTGCCCAAAAAGATCGACCGGGTTGTATTCTGTCCTCTAACTGAGACACAAGCCGAGGCCTACGAGAATTTCCTTGACAGTGACATTGTCGACTATATCAAAACATCTACAGAACCATGCGGTTGTGGATCGGGCAAGAAGGCCGGCTGGTGTTGTCGCCGTTTAATTCCCGATAGGGACCCTCCAACCTGGCAGTCCTATGTGTTCCCTGCTATTAATGTGCTTCAAAAGCTCAGCAATCATCTGGCAATCCTGATCCCACAAGGAGTAGATCCAAAAGAGAAGCAGGAGAAAGATAGAGATTACCTGGAACTTGCGCTGCCCGAACAATGGGAAGATCTGTACCGCTCGCGCGACTCGATCGTCAACTATGCGAACCCTGAGTTTTGCGGCAAGTGGAAGGTTCTGCGGAGGTTACTCAAATGGTGGCATTCAAATGGAGATAAAGTTCTTATCTTCTCACATAGCGTGCGTCTTCTCAAGATGTTGCAAATGCTGTTCCATCACACTAGTTACAATGTCAGCTACCTGGATGGATCCATGAGTCTCGATGACCGTGCAAAAGCTGTGGACGAGTTCAATGCCGACTCGCGACAGTTTGTTTTCCTTATATCTACCAAGGCTGGTGGTGTTGGGCTGAACATCACCTCAGCAAACAAAGTGGTAGTCGTTGATCCGAACTGGAACCCGTCCTACGACTTACAAGCCCAGGACCGGGCCTACCGCATAGGACAACTTCGTGACGTGGAAGTCTTCCGGTTGATTTCTGCCGGCACGATTGAAGAAATCGTCTACGCTCGACAGATCTACAAGCAGCAACAGGCAAACATTGGATACAATGCAAGTTCCGAGCGTCGATACTTCAAAGGCGTCCAAGAAAAGAAAGACCAAAAGGGTGAGATCTTTGGACTGAAGAATTTCTTCGGGTATCAGAACACGAATATCGTTCTACGTGACATCGTCAACAGAACAAATGTCGCTGAAAGCCGTGCGGGGGTAGAGGTCGTCGACATAGACCTCAAAGTAGAAGAAGAAGGCCACGACTACACCGATCGGCCAATGAAATCCGAAGAGGAAGCAATGAGCCAACTCGCGGCGATGATCTGCGGCGAAGACGAAGACAAAAAAGACCACAAGCCTTCAGCCAGTCTTCCAACACCGCATAAGCACGACCCCGTTCAAGCAATTCTCGCAAACGCAGGCGTGGAATACACCCACCTCAACAACGAAGTGATCGGGTCCTCGCGTGTCGAGGAAAACCTTAGTCGTCAAGCTGAGCTGGCTCAAAATGATGCGACAGGTGACCGTCAAGTCTTCATGTCCTCGCAGCCTTTCTCCCAGCCGACGGAGGCACCTGTGCGATTCAAATACCACCCACCGGAGGATGTCATACGTCGCCAGTTCTGTAGTATGGCGCGGCGGTTTGGGTACGCTGATGCTACGGAGTTTGCGCTCGTTGTTGAGGCCATGACCCAGGCGCAGCGGAGAGCTTGTCTTGACAAGTGGTATCGAGAGAGGAGAGAGATACTACTTTCTGCGGATCAGAGTACTCCCAAGGAGGAGTGGATGAAAGACGAAGAAGTTCCTGAGGAGATGGATGTTAAAGATGAATGGATCAAGGATGAGAATGGCCCTAAGGAGGAGAGTCCGGGTCTTTGAGTGTTTTGCTTTTGTTGCTATTTCTTCTTGCTCGATACCCCTTTCTAGTTGTCTCTAGGCCCTGGTTATATATAAAAAAGTCGTTTGCACAGTTTATGATTTGCCCCGCCGTATAGCTATAAAACCGAGGAGGGGAAGGAAATATCTAAAAAGAATATAAGAAGACCACCAAAAAGACTGCTAAAAGACAACACAAGGTCGCATAAGCGGCCGGCTATTCTTGCATAATATGCATCAAATAATGCGATATGAGACCGCACTCGCTAAAATAGTTCATCTGGATAACTTAGGGCCCGCAAATCACTGATATTAAACCATACCCGTAGGATGGCTGTAGGTAAATAGATATCCATGCAAAGATTGCAACATCAGGGAACTAAAGCCAAGCCAAAGTCCACAGTGCCGGCAAATTGGGATATCGTTCTTGCCAATCCGCCAAGATCTCAGGGACCTTCTCATCGAAGCTCTGGCGCGCAGGACCAGTCCCGTTTTCCCAGCCCTCGGATCCATGAACACGATGCTGCGCAACAGCAGCCTCATTCAGACGATTGGCGAGATCCAGAATCGCCTTTCCACCAGTCAATGCCTCCTCATGGTTATCCTTGATATCGACATTGAATACATGAACAGGGTAATTGAGCGCAGTGCCCTTATTCATCAGGTCATCGACAACAGCATCCCAGCAGCGCTCTTCACAGGTGATGATGACATCGACCACGCCGCCCTCCGTGCCAATCGCACCCTTGTCACCTTTGGAAAGGTGGTCGACGCGCGGGACACCTGGCACCCAGTCCTGGAACCGCTCCGGCCCCCACTTCAGCTGGCGGTTTCGGTCGAGCATGTTCAGGATGCCGTTTCCGCGGTACAGACGCTCGTCTTTGCCGGAGAGCTCCTCGTACATTTGGTTGTAGGAGGTTGTGTTGAAGCTGTACACGTTTGGTTGGGTAATTGACGGGCCGGGGAGACGGACGAGGGAGCCTGTGCCGAAGGATATCACGGGGAAGGCTGCTGGGGCGCCGGAGAGCTGCAGGTGAGCCTCCATTGAGCGATTGTTGTTCGAGGCGCAGACTGTGCAGAACTTGAGCTTGTACGAGTCTGTGGCTGCGGCTGCGCCGGCCGGGTTGGCTGTTTCTATGGCTTGGGCTGCTGAGGACATGTCGGCTTGAGTGGATGGTGGTGGAGGGGGAGGGGGAGGAGGTTGGGGAGTTGAGGTCCCCGAGTTTGTTCGGCGGGGATCATATGCCATTTTGAGGGGAGACTATGGAGATGATAATAGAGAGAAAGAGACTAAGGGGTGTGTGTTTTTTCTAGGTATTTGGGGGCTGATGATCATGGGGGTTTCTTGAGTTTACAATATTCTGTTGACTATCAGAGGCAAGTTAGCGACTGATTTGGAATTGGTGTTTTTTGTGACATGAAATGTGAAGACACAAGTTCAGAAAAAAAGCGTATATGAATTTATCCGCATAGCAAAAGCTCAGACAGCTCCAATAATATATTCATCATGTGAGGGCAGGAGAAGGTAATACACCACACATACCTTGTAGTTATCACTCATTATCCAGTTCAAATCATTATGGGGGCCGTAGCCCTGGGAGAAGAGAAGAGAAGGGCAAGTTTGGTGGAAGTTGAAAAGCTTCGTTTTGTTGCCCTGGCTTAGTCATATATGTACCGCTTGCAATACCGCCTGGATAGAAGAGCTCCAGGGCGAGCCGGAGCTCACATTCTGCCTGGCAAATCATTGAGCTTATCGTTATCTTGTACACATTGTCCTCTTTCTTTGAGCATCTCTACCTCAACAATAAGGCCTCTGTACCCTTTCTTTTACTCATAGGGTAGCTATCAGATTTCAACATTCTCAAAGCTTTTAAACCCCTCCATAACCCCCTCCATAACCTCCATCAGCAGCTCTGTACTCCCACTATTTCCAGCTCAGACATGGCAGCAAATAGTACTATCAGGTCAGCCCTGATTGTGGTAGACATGCAAGAAGATTTCTGCCCACCAGTGAGTTTATTTGATACAATAGAAGGTCATATATGCTGATAAACAGAGTAGCATGGGTCACTCGCCGTAGCAGGAGGCCGCGAGATTGCCTCGATAATCAACACTCTACTTGCAAAGCCGGGATTTGTCGCGCGCATCATGACCAAAGACTACCACCCAGAGGACCATATCTCATTTGCCAGTAATCATCCAGGGCCTGATAACCAGCCCTTCTCTTCATTCGTCACAACGCAAAATCCCGCTCTAGGAAAGGAAACAGAAACAAAACCACAGCAGCTCTGGCCAGTCCACTGTGTGGCTGGAACGCCCGGCGCAGATATTATCCTAGAGATTGACACCTCTAGTGAGCATATAGTTGTTCACAAAGGCATGCGCCCTGGAGTCGAGATGTATTCTGTATTTGCGGATGCTTTCGGAAACTGTGATCATGGGACCAATGCACATTCAGTCAGCCTGGATGTTGCCGCGGCTCTCAAGGCTCAGGGTGTTACAGATGTATTTGTTGTGGGCTTGGCCGGGGATTATTGTGTCAAAGCTACTGCTCTTGATGCTGTCAAGACTGGATTCAAAAGCTGGGTTGTTGAGGAAGGAACGAAATGTGTCGTGCCTGCTGGTTGGGATGCCATTAAAGAGGAACTTCAGACTGCCGGGGTGTCTATTATCTCTATGGATGACTCTATTATCAGGGATCTGGGAGAGAAGAGTTGATATGTTTTTTTTTCTCTCCTGATTTTATCACATAAATTATAAACTAGATATCCTGTTCCAAGTTCCTTTCCTAATTTGTCGAACAGAGGTTCAAGTTCCACGCTACCCGGTTGTAAATCTTATGATAGTATATGAAGGCAATGTATCTTTACATGGATGTGTTACTCCGAAATGCTACACAATGAGAGACCTGACTACATGGTGCTGACCACAGTTACTATAATACCCCGTGTGATTAGCATTCTCCCACAGTTTATAGTTCAAATCAAAGAAAACAAACCACACAAGCTTCCAACGTCATGTATATTTGAAACAATTTATTAAAAATAGATCGCCAGTGGATACATGATCGACAAGCAACTGCCGGAAACGCTTGAACTTGATACCCCTTGCGGCACTACTGCAGAGTGACGTCGATTCAAGGGGGAGATTCACCAGTCAACAGTCCTATTTCACTACGAACTGCAGAGACTAGTTCAGAACTTGATCTAGTCGCGATGCTTCACTCTAAGCGACCATCAACGGGCGCTCCAATCAAAGCCCTCAACGAGAAATTGACCGATGCCGATGCGGAGGCCTTGCGCTTTCCCGATTACAGCTTACCCTCTGAAACCCTCCCGTTCTGGCTCGTTAATGTACCTCGGTCGCAATGGACTGTCGAATGTCCTAGCTTTCTACGTGATCAAAACCCGAAGAATATACAATGCCTTTCGACCCCTGACCACCTTTATACCCGACAAAAATGGGAGGAAGTGAAGGAGATCACAAGTTGAGTGCAACTGGTTGTTAGTGATATACTTCAACTCACTAATTATAACTTGGAACAGAAACCAACCGGATCGATCGATTCCAGCGTGTGCCAAGCGAGCTGCGAAAGTATCTGGAATACATGGCGCATATCAAGGCGGAGTATACATCCGTCATGAGGTTTATGATCAAGGAAAGACTGGGTTGGGGGAATGGAAGCCTGGAAGATATCAAGGCTAGAGGTGGTCCTTTTGAATACGAGGGTACAGGTCACCGGGTTGGATCTAGAGCACGTGAAAAGTGAAATACTAACCAATTGTATAGAGGACATCCGAATCATATACAATGACTGGCCATATGGTGTTGATAAGGACATCATCCATCTGGTAGTGTGGACCAAGTTCCAGCTGGAAGATGACCCAACCACAGACGACCTTACGCCAAGCACACGAGCGGCCATAGAGAGCTATGTGCAGGAGAAATTTTGCTCCCGGATGCCACGCGAACAGGTATGGGATATGTCAAGATAAATATGATGGAAAGCTGACAACATAGGTGGTCTGGTTCAAGAACTGGAAGTCACTAAAGTCGGTTCCTGGAATAGAACACTTCCACGTCATGCTCCATCGTCCCGATATGGAATTTATTAAGGAGATCACCCGGGGAGATGTACCACTGATTGAACGGCTGTGATGTCCAGTGTTTGATTGAAACTTGACTGGATTGAATAAATGAAGGAATAAGAGGCAAAAAGAGGCAAAAAGAAAGTTGTCCTGTCATATGTCCTGAGTACATATAAGTTACCAAGCATAATGTACATGCAGCTGCCCAGGTGCTGCCCAGTATTGAATTTCCCTGCCAAGCTATGCCCCTCATTGACGATCTTTAGGGGGAAATATTGAATGGAATCTATTCCGAAAGTACATAAAGAAAAGGTATTTTTTTATATTTTGCATAGGGGGAGACATTCATGGATGCCTATATAGGATGTAACTAGCCCTGGACCTCAGGTAGCTAGGCAGTTAAATAAGCACAAGCTTAGAGCTGATCCCAGTCAAAAAAAAAAAAAAAAGACGTCACTATAGCCCCTCCTTAGTGCTAAGCATTGTATATGAATAATTTTTGTTGAGTATTTTAGTGTCGTTTTTTCCTCGAACTACACAACTTTTTTATTCTTTTTATGCTTGCTTTCTCCATAGTAAAAAAAAAAAGGCCCCATTTCCGGAAATTTCCGCCCAAGACTCATTTCTCTAGATTTTCACCTGAACATCTATTCATCTTTTTCTTCTATTCTTTCTACTTAAATGCCTTAGGCTTGGCAAAATATCCGTGATACAAGTCATTTCCGAACGCAGTCATGCCGGTTCCGCACCTCCGCCGTGCTTCCCAGGCTAGTAAGTTTGACTTCCCCTCATCGCTTTCCATCCCACCATCATACATCAAGAAATAGTTAAAAACATGGAATTTAACATTCATTCAGGCAGGTCCTCCACAGATGATTCCCCTCCAAGTGGGGAGGATGAGGTTATTGAGCCTGATCAGGGAAACAGTGCGTATAAACCCATCACGGATACTGCCGGACATACACTAACGTGATATACCTCATAGTTCTCATGCATATCATTTCTCAGCTTCGGCCCGGTGCAGATCTGAGCCGTGTCGTCTTGCCGACATTCATTCTCGAGCCCAGGTCTATGTTGGAGCGGATCACCAAGTACGTTTACACCCCGCAGCTCCAACCCGGTAGCTCCAATTTTTTTTGAAGCTACCGGCCAATATTTGGATATATCAACTAACAAAAGTGTTTTATTAGCTTCATGGCCCACCCAGAAACCCTCCTCCCTATGTCCGCCATTGAAGACCCCGTTGAGCGCTTTGTCTCTGTGGTCCGGTTCTATCTGAGTGGATGGCACATCAAACCTGCGTAAGTTCCCCTGCTTGCTGTTTGTTGAGGAATACATTCTGATATTTCCATAGAGGAGTGAAGAAGCCGCTCAACCCCATTCTTGGAGAGACATACACTTGTTACTGGGATTATCCCGACGGAACCCGCGCCTACTACATCTCCGAGCAGACCTCCCACCACCCACCGAAGTCGAGCTATTTCTTTGCAGCGCCGGAGCATCAAATCCGTATTGATGGAACACTCAAGCCCCACAGCAAGTTCTTGGGCAACTCCGCCGCCAGTGTTATGGAGGGTATCGCCATTTTGCGGTTGATGAACCACGGGGATAAAGAAAAGGGTGAAAGATAGTATGTTGCGCTCCTTCTGTAGCCCTTAAAGTCACTAACAAAAAGCAGTATCCTAACCCAACCCAATATGTATGCGCGCGGCATTCTTTTCGGAAAGATGAAATATGAGCTTGGCGATCACAGCTACGTGCGCTGTCCCGAGAACCACCTCGTGGCCGATATCGAGTTCAAGACCAAGGGATATTTCACCGGCAACTATAATTCAATTGGAGGAACTATCAAGAACGAAAAAACCGGAGAGGTGCTATACGAACTGTCCGGAATGTGGAATGGGGAGATGCACATGAAGGATGTTCATGTATGCTACACATACCTCCCATGGTCCCTTCTAGATTCAATGCTGACCGAGAAACAGACCCACAAAAAAGACCTCTTATTCGATGCGACACATGCCAAGCATACACCTCCTTTGGTCCGCCCTATGGAGGAGCAAGGAGAGCGTGAATCGCAGCGGCTATGGTATAAAACAGTTCAAGCTATTGTGGCCCGCAACCATGAAGCTGCAACGGACGAAAAGACTAAGATCGAAGACCGCCAACGAGACGAGGCCGCGAAGCGTGCCGAGGAAGGAATTGACTGGCATCCTCGACTCTTCCGTCCCATCCAAGGTGGCCCCGGTGGGCCGGATGAGGGCGAGGAAGACCTCGACTGGATCATCAATGCCCAAATGTAAGAATGACAACTCAAACCCTAAAAGATAAGATAATAACTGACAATCCCAGTGACATGCACGATCCCCAACTCGCCACCAAGCAGATCCTCTCAATCGCACCCATCGTCCAAGGTCAGAAGGAGTCATCCCAGTTTCAAATCCCGCCACATCACCCCCCTCCTTCCGCTTCTGCGAACTAGGACCCCAGGCATTCCCCCACAACCAGCTAATACCGCCGCACCCAGGCCTCGAGACACAACCCGATGCCACCCAAAGCACTATGGAACAGACAGGTACTGAAACATCAGAAGCGGCAGAGCTTGTAGACGCCCAGAAAACCTCATAAGCCAGCAACCAAAAAAGCCCCACTGCGTCCACCTCCGGCCTCCCCCCATGCTATCACCGACTTAATCCAACCCCGGTTGCTCAGGTCGCCTTCTCTCTTACTCTCACCTCTGAATGACCTCGGAGTGTTATCACACTCCATCTCTCCCTCATTCTGCCATGACGTAGTCAACCTGCGCAGAAAAACCCAGCACAGCCACAACTCGAGGCGGCCGACGACACGATGATAGTCCCCCTCTCTGCCCCTCTGATGTTTCAACACAGCGTTTTTTCTCGGCTACCGTGCCGCTCCCATTGCTGGATACCCGATTTGTTTGATTTGAAAATTCAAAATTCAAAAAACAATTCCCTGAAATCTCAACTGTAAATGAGTATATCCTCTCTTCTCAGACATCGCTAAATGAGAGAAGAGTACGCGTCGTATATTAGACATCGAACAAAAGAATAGTTGTACCAGGAGTATCAAAGAAGCTGCTTATGTAGGTGTTCTCTGCATTTTATCTACACTGAGGCCTTTGATTAATCACTTTTCACTCACCTCTTAGTATCCATAATTCTTGCCTCTCTTGTCCAAAGTCCACAGTATTGACTTCTGATTAATTTTGAATCTTCTCTGTCCGTTACTATACAAAGCTCTCCTAGAAGAGAGGGATATCACAATAGATGGCAACTGCCCATGCCACCAAATATTACCATACAAAGACAACCGAAACTCCCCTCCGATATCCAAATACATACAAAACGCCGCGTCCAACCATTCTTGACTCCTGTGACTTACCAGCCACAAAGCAGCACAAAGCTCATGAATACAACTCTCCCTTGTATCCAGCCCCACGCTCCAGATCACGCCGCCGACTAGTTCGCGGGATAGCACCAGCAGAGCCAGCATAGGCGGAGCCAGAACCCGTCGACGCGGCATCCGCAGCAGCCATAGACCCACTACCTTCATATTCCTCCCTCTCCTCCTCAATCTGCATCGTCTGCTCCTCAATCTCCTTCTCGGTATCCTCACGCAAACCCAAGATATCAGGCGGGATAAAGCTCATCTGCACACTGGGCGCGCCCTTGATATACCTCAGCTGCTCGTGGACAGCCTCGACAAGGCTCTCGAGGTACGCGCGGGTATTCTTATTATCAAGCTTGCGCATCTCCGACAGCGGCGGGAAGAGCGAGTAATCAGGACCGAAGTGATTGCGGAAAGCAACGGTGTCTGGGATAGTGGGGTCGATGATGCGGTCTGCCTCGAGCAGAATTGAGGTCTCGTGCGCCCATGCGCGAGACACGTTGCGCGGCGTGTAGCCGCCGCCGCCGACGACTAGCATGGGGAGTCCGAAGGTCTTGGTGTATGCGACGCAGGCGCCGTGCGCGCGCACGTTCAGGTTGAAGCAGCCCAGTCGGTCGCAGCCTAGACTGTCGGCGCCGCATTGTAGAACGATTGCGCCTGGTTGGTAGGTCTTCATACAGGCGCCGATTACTTCTTTGAAGAGCGCGATGTAGGACTCATCGTCGATGCCGTCGTTGAGAGGGACGTTGATTGCGTGGTGGGCGCCTGGGTTGAGCGGATGTGCGGGGCCGGTGTCTTCGCGCGCACCAGTGCCCGGGAAGAAGTTGTCTTTATCGTATTTATGGAAGGAGACTGTGAGCACGCGGTCTGTTGACCAGAAGGCTTGTTCGACGCCATCGCCGTGGTGTACATCGATGTCGATGTACATGACGCGCGGGTGGTGGCGGAGGAGCTGGAGTGTGCCCAGGACGATGTCGTTGACGTAACAGAAGCCGCTTGCTTCTGCTTTTTTGGCGTGGTGGAGGCCGCCGGACCAGTTGATTGCGATGTCGGATTGGTTGTTGCAGAGCTTGCGCGCGGCGTCGATGGAGCCGCCGGCGTACAGCGAGCAGTAGCTGTACAGGCCGTCGAAAATGGGGCAGTCGTCGCCGAAATTGAAGCGCACCACGTTATCTGATTGCTCTGGCTTATCCATGTCACCGGGCATGATCTGCTGCAGGAAGTCGAGGTAGTCTCTCTCGTGGAAGTCGGCCATTTCCTCGTAGGTCGCTGCGCGCGCGAGGTACAGGTCCATAGCGTGATGCATGCCGTACGCCATGACGAGTTGTTTGGTGAGCGTGAGGCGCCATGGCTTCATGGGATGTGACTGGCCGAAGTGGTGGGGCTCAACGGCTGGATTGGCGTGCCATGATACTCGGTAACCTGTTGGACGAGCTATTTGTAGATTCTGAAGCTCGGCGGTGGACTTTTGGTCGATGGTGAGGGTCGGAGTCGGGGCGGAGGGTGACGCGTATTCTTGAACAACGGAGGAGCGCGCCATCGAGGCAGATATTCGGCAAAATACCGGGAATCAAAGAATTAAGAGCGCCGAGACGTTCATTTTAGATGGGATGAATGGAATTCGAGATGAGACTGAAGGAAGTTCATGACTAATCAGATCTGCGGGCCCGGGGCGGGGCCAAGCATTTTGCATGTTTCCTCTATTTTGTATAGGGACCTCGGGAAGGAACGGAGAAATAGGAACGGACAAAGTGGGAAGGCAAGGAGTTGTTGAGTTGAATTACGAAGATACAAGTCTGCAATTTAAGATCATGTGCCTATATCATCACAGACCACGTGTATAGTACGTCTGTAGCAGTTCAATAAGGACCCCGCTTGAGTTGCCGAAGCTCATAGTACAACATGTATATTGCCGTGCTGTTCGAGTTCCTTTTCATATAAAAATTGTGATATTGTTGGAGATTCCAGGCGATCCTTAATATATTCCAAGGTTAATTCAATTAATACTGCAACAATTGACATCTGGCAAGCACATCTACACTGTTGAACCTTCTCCGAATTAATCCCGAGTCTAGGTATATCTTCTAACCTGCTCAAATGCCTTGGAATAATGATATATAAGATGCAATGGAATAAGATGGTGGTATCCCGATGTCGGCCCCGTGGTTCTGGATAAGTGGAGGTATTGTAATTGCCCGAAAGAGCTCACGGGTGGAGATGTAATGGCCAAAAGCTTGTTTCCCATGTGCGTAACGTTGGGTGAGATCATACCTTCGGAGGGAAAGCTATTTGCGAGGCTCATTTCCTGATGTGAACGTACATCAACCCTCCGTCTTCACTCAGACAATAGCTATACATATATCGAATTAGCACCGGCAAGTCACTGCTATCTCTGTTAGCATAAAACAACAATCATGGTTCTTCCATCGGCAGCAACCAGCCTGCGGCGATCTCTGCAAGATCCCCAGGTATTCATCACAGCCCCAGGAGTCTATGACGGACTGTCAGCACGACTAGCACTGGCAGCAGGCTTCGATGCACTATACATGGTATGCAATGCAAGGTGATCAAGAAATCCCCATCAAAAGCCACGAGCTGACACCACCAACCAGACAGGCGCTGGAACAGCAGCCTCAGTGCATGGCCAAGCAGATCTCGGAATCTGCACGCTGAACGACATGCGAGCCAACGCAGAGATGCTAGCAAACCTCTCACCACACACGCCGCTGATCGCCGACGCCGACACCGGCTACGGCGGGCCGATCATGGTAGCCCGCACGACAGAACAATACGCGCGGTCCGGCGTAGCAGCCTTCCACATCGAGGACCAGGTACAGACCAAGCGGTGCGGACACCTCTTCGGCAAGCAGCTCGTCGACCCAAAAACCTACATCAGCCGCATCCGCGCGGCCGTGCAAGCGCGCCAACGCATCGGCAGCGATATCGTAGTGATTGCGCGAACGGACTCGCTCCAGCAGCACGGCTACGAAGAGAGCTTAGCACGGCTGCGGGCGGCGAGAGATGCCGGCGCGGACATCGGGTTCTTAGAGGGCATCTCGTCGCGAGAAATGGCTCGCCGGGTTGTGGCGGACCTTGCGCCGTGGCCTTTGTTGTTGAATATGGTAGAGCATGGGTCCACGCCTTCGATTTCTGCGAACGAAGCGAAGGAAATTGGGTTCCGGGTTATCATCTTCCCGTTTGCGACTCTGGGTCCGGCTCTCCTGGCTATGCGGGAGGGACTGGAGAGATTGAAGCGTGATGGCTTGCCTGGTCTTCCTGAGGAAGTCACGCCTCAGATGTTGTTTAGGGTCTGCGGGCTGGATGATAGTCTTAGGTTGGATGCGGCCGCTGGTGGTGTGGCGTTTGAGGGTGGAATCGGGAGATAAATGAATGCCCAGAATATACCCGTGGATCGCCACCTGTTCTACCCGGTGCCGGACGGTGAGTCGGAGTATATTTTAGGCCAATGGTCTAGGTTGACTTCCAAGAGTTTAGGCGAAGGCATTGGCAACTTCCCCTTTGAACGGAAGAGGAATACCTGTACTCCGTACTCCGTAAATACATCTGTAGTAGTCTCCACCAGTCGTATGATTGGTATGATTCTATTTTTTTTTCATCCAGCCACATTCATTAGTAGAAGTTGAAGTTGAAGTTGAATTCTTCGGGTCTTAATTAGAATTACCGTTAAAATATCTAGAGCCATGTGGTTTTTCTCATTTCCTTTCATGGATTACATAGATGTAATCCATGGATGACAGTGTGTTGACGGGCAGATTTCATTTCCCACAGCCAATGAGACAAGCCATAGATTAATCGAGCCGAGGATCCTTCCGTGCCGACCCTGGTTTTGTTTATTGACAAGCCTAATTTTCTACAAATTTTCTACAGGGGGTTTAAGAGTGTCTAGAGTGTTTAGAACATTCAAAGTCAATCGCATCGTACCTGCAGGTGAGGAGTCTGCCAGGGGTTCCTTCACAACCCTAATGTTTCAGAACACGCCTGTGGCAACGTACTTTGTACTTTGTACTCATACCATTCATACCATACAACAATATACTCCGTACCTACGTGATAATAATACTACAATGTACGGAGTATAGAGTCTTTAAAAAGCCAAGCGCGCTTAAAGTTTTACTCAGATCAACACATGAAACTGCCTCATATTCAGCCCCAGTTTACCGAGTCGGAAGGCCTGGATTCCCGACAGTTTCGGCGTGAGACTATGGAGGCGATCTAGGGCGGGACTCGTCATGTAGGTGGGGAATGGCTTCGACGCTACCAGTGAATATACAAATGACTGTGCCTTACAGAAAAATATCGAGGACCCATCGGCCGCGTAGGGGCCTGGCCGCAGATCAACGGCAGAGATTTGCCCTTTCAGACGCACATCCGTGGATACGATGGACAGTCGATATTAATTGTCATCGGCGTAATCATGTAATCTGTCAGAATGAGTTGGGTAGTGACATGGGTTATAAAGTGTCAATTGATTGTCCACGTTGTACATGCGGTGATGAGTTGTCCGTATTCAAGATTGCCTTGGGATTCGTAAGACAGTTCAGATCCTTGCTGTGGACTACACCGATTGGTTTATGTGGGGAATTTCCGGACGGGGATATCTTAAAGTGTGTAAGTTTGTATACCTAGGTATTATATGTAGATACTAGAAAACCTTTGTCATATAGAAGTACCAATGCCCAGATGTTGGGCTCGAACGCAGTAAGTGATCCATGGGATTGTTTCCATATTTCGAATCTAGCATTCCGATCGAACACGTGTTTGACATCAGGCAACTATAGACATAACAATATGAATCCCAATAATAGGAATCATATAATAATAGAAACATGGAGTATTGTATTCTGTACAAGATTAGGAGTAATGAATAGGAGAAACACCCCTTATCCTAAGTAACGAGTACCTGCACAGCCGCGAGGAGAGGCATAGTATAGTCAAGTACACAATACCAAGAGAATAGAGTCTGGGCCCTTTCCAGTCAACCAATCAACCCAAATGAGACGGACGCACGGCCAGGAACCGCCAGGAACCGACCAATCAACAATCGATGGCCCCTGATATTCTGCCTTGGAACCCTTTGAGTGTTTTTGGGTTCAGGCCCAGCCTGACCCGTTGGCGTGTAATTTGGTATTGTACTAATAGTCCTAGTCCCCCCCTAGTCTACTTTCTTCTTCTCTCTTCATTCTTCATTCTCACACATTCATTTGAATTGAATTTTCGTCCAGAGCTTTTCGCTCAAGTCACTCATTTTTTCAAGGTTATTCAATTCCCCCAAAAAAATGCATTTCTCCAACTCCGTGCTGTTGATGACAGCGCTGACCGCTGGGTCGGCTGTCGCTCGTCTTCACGGCCACGACCGTCGTCACGCCCACCACAGAGAGCTCGATGCCCAGCTCCAGCCCGCTGTGACCGCTGCCCCCGTTGCCAACGTTGAGAAGCGTGGTGGAGAGGTTGTTGCTGCCACCATCGACGGCCAGCTCGTCTCCTGGATCAACAACTGGTTCGGCGAACAGGGTTCCACCTCTTCTGAGGCTCCTTCCTCCACCGAGGCCCCCGTGGTCCCCGAGCCTACCGTTGCTCCCACTTCCACCACTGCCGCTCCCGTCGTCAAGTCCACCTCCGAGGCTGAGGTTATCTCAGTCGTCAAGCCCACCGCTGCGCCTACCTCCGGCTCCAGCTCTTCCGTTTCCAGCAACTGGGCCAACTACCCTACCAATGGCCAGTACTCCAGAGATGGATTCGGTGCCTCCACCGGCAGCAAGCGCATCGGCTCCCTCGACTGGGACTACGTCGGCAACGTCGGCAGCCCCTGGGGTAGCAACCTGATCCGTGTCGAAGAGGACGCCGCCAGCGAGTACAAGCACGTTATCCGATTCGAGAACGACAACGCCAAGGCCTGGACTGTTGTCATGTGGAACTCGTACGGTCCCACCGGCGGTCTGAACGGTTTCTGGAGCCCCAACAAGGCCCTGAGCTTCACCGTCGAGCCCGGTCACAGCATCTTCGTCGCCATCGATGACAACTCTCAGGGTGGTTGGGGTGCCGCCGAGGGCGAAGGTCTCCCTACCAACTTCGTCGGTGAGTACGCCTCCACCTGGGGTGAGTTCGATATGAGCAACGCCCAGAACGACGGCTTCTCCGGCTGGGATGTTTCTTGCATCATCGCTGAGCTCGCCAACCTGGAAATTGCTGGTATGCAGATCTGCAACCACGAGGGTGAGAAGTGCTCCTCCATCTCCAAGGGTGCCGCCAGCGTCGTCGCCGGCTACACCGCTGCCGACCAGGGCAAGCCCGACCTGGCCATCGCCCAGTCCGCTGGCCCCGTCCGTCTCGTTGTCAACCTGGGCTGGTCCTCTTAGACGGTCACGCCATCTTTTTTTTTTCCTCCTCCCATTTCTAGCAATCTTATCCTCTCTCCCGAGATTTTGTCTTTTCTTGCGCAAACGGTTTAACGCCGAAGATGTCTTTGTATCTTCCCCTGATTGGTGTGTGCGTGCGCAGGTCGCTTGCCCCAGCAACAATCCTGGCCACACATCCTTCCATCTTCGAGCGGCCCTTCGACGGATACCTTTTTCTCCGTTGAGGGGTTCATACATATCTTTGTGGTCATGATTCGCGTCCTTTTGTCTTTTTCTTTGTACATATACCATCTGAACCATCTGATCTGATTTGAGAGTTGATATTATTTCCTTTTTCTTATTTTTTTCCTTCTAAAACTAATCACTATACATACTCTACTGTATCTAATGGCCATTAAGCGCCGATATCTATATATGGAAATCTAAACACAGCATATCATCCAACCCACTATACTCAGTCTATATTTAATCTCACAGGATCATTAGTGCCGACGCCTCTTCGTCAGCCATATACCTGAAACAAGCCCCTTATCTATTATTGCCAAGTCTCACCTTTCCAAAAGCCGATGTACGTATATTTATGTCTTGCATGAGGCCAAAGTAACCATGCATTCTTTTGTCATAGGATGAGCATATTGCATAATTGGCCCATAAATGTTTAACCTATTACAAAGGTCAACGAAAAGCTTCAATATGAAACTCACAACTATACCACTATTTGGACAGACTCCAAAAAATTATGTGGTTGAATTTGAGATGTCAATTCAGAGTTAGGGCTTTGAGGAATGTCAGGATCACATGGCTGCTTTGAGGGGTCCTTCGAGCCCTTAATTATTTACTATGTCACCAAAGTAATCTTACGTTCATTTGAGTTCGATTATAAAGATAAGAATAAAGGAGATATATCAACTAGAGGACCAGATCAAAGACCTGCAATTTAAATGTGGCGAAGAACCGTAGGAACGTCAACACACAAGTACAGAAGGACAGAACACAATGCTATCGTACAGTCTTCGCTTCCACCTAATAGTAAAACAAAACACCAACCCCCGTAACATCCTCGAAACCAGACACAACGACCTCTCGACGCTTAAAACGCGCCCAAGAAGTCAGCCGCAGACCCAGGATCAAGCTGCACCACATCCACATCTCCCTCATGATCATCCTCTTCCTCGACACCCCCAGTCGAAAAAGAAAGCAAGCCCACATGCACCATATACCCAATAAAAGCCGCCGTCCCCGCCACAGCAGTCGCAACAGACAACAACATATCCTTATTACTAGAATCGGCATACGAAGCCAAAACCTGTTTCTCCACCGAGCTAAACGCCGAATCAGCCTGGACAGCCTGCTTCAACCGCCTATTCTGGCGCACCTCCCGCAAAAACGGCGTATTATCCGCCAGCGTCCCGAGCAGCGTCGTCCCAACCGCCGCAACAGAGATCCGCTCAGGCGCGCGCCACGGCAAGAAAGCCAACGCCGTTGGCTGGAAAGCATGCGCAGTCTCAACAGGGTCCTCACCAAAACAGCGACCGCGCATGCGCTCCGTATACGCCGCCAGCAGCGGAGCCTTCGCGCGCATCGCGTCGCGCAGCCAGGGGAAGACCAGCTCCGGCACGAGCGCCAGCGCCAGGTATCCCAGCGCGACGCAGTCCAGCGAGGAGGGGTTATTGTTCTCGTCGGCGGGGAGCAGACAGGTCTTTGTGCGGGCGAGCATTGCTTCGAGCGGGTCGAAGAAGTCTGCTGTTAGGGCTTCTAGACGGAACTGGTTTGTTTGCGCTGTGCGGCCGAGGAGCTTGGAGACTGTGTCGCGCGGCTGCTGGATCATGGTGCTGGGGATTTGGCCGGCTGCTACGGCGGCGGAGTGCTCGCGTTTGCGCTGGTCTTCCATTGCTTGCAGGTCGAGCGAGGAGAGGCCGAGGTGTTCGGTGCGCGTTTTGGCGGCGCTGTGTAGCTTCGGTGGGAGGATCCATTGGTTGGGCCATTGGAGGAGGGAGCCGTAGGCGGGGGATGTGTTGCCGTAGTAGTTTTGGCTGGTTACGTAGAGGGAGAGGTCGAGGAGGGATTGGCCGCGGGATTCGATGAAGGAGGAGAAGCTGAGGGTGGGTTGTTAGTATTTTTTTTTGTTTCTTGCATTATTGTAGAAGTTGGGGGTGCGTACGCAACGCTGTCGGCTTTTTGCACTTCGTCGAGGTTTTGGTCCAGGTTCCATGCTCCCTCGGAGTATTGGCGGAGGTAGTCGACGATATTGCGGAACCGGCTCACCCAGACGGAACCATTCTGGAGAGCGGGGAGCTCACCTATTCGTGAATTACTTGTTAGATGTCTGATTTTGGTGATGTGTTTTTTTTTTTTTTTTGCGGTCACGTCACTGACCTGTTGGGGACACGGAGGGATCACTGCTGGCGATTAGTTCCCATGAGTCTTTAGGGAGGACCTCGGAACAATATGCAATTGCAGCAAGACATTGCGCGTCAATTGACGGCAGGGAAAAGGCCGGGCCCCATACATGCAGTTGTAGTACCATGGTGGCTTTGCGCTTGGAAGAGAAGGAACGGCTGTGATTGATATGGCCGAGAGAATCACGTGTGTTTATCCTCGGATATCAGATATACTTGGCTTCTACGGATTACAAAATCTAATTTATTCATATCAATCTAGTTGTAGATGGTCTGTAGATGGTGGTTTCTTATAAAAAAAATATAAAAAAAATACAGATTCTTTCTCTTCTTCGAGATATCCCATTCTCCCGAGATCTAGCTATACTACAGCTGCACGTACGACTGCCATTACCCCGAAAGTCAAAATAGACATAAATAGAAATAGGACAAAGTGTCGCGCTAAATTCCAAGCTTCCAGGAAGTCAAAGAAACCAAGATGTGGCTTCGATCACGTAGGCAACGCCATTTCATTGAAATCACCGATAATTAGCCAACAATATCTCCTTTAGAATAAAATTGGCAATGAGTTGTATAGCAACGAATCGGATATAGCTTCCACTTTGCCTCAAAGTATAACCCGATACTCCATCAATCTCACTCAGCCCGGAAAAAAAAAGCATCGACATCAAAGCTCAACGTGGCTCAGTCACACGACGCAGGCCATCTAGAACCTTAAGAGCCTCAAATCTCCATATTGACACAGCCCAGAGCTGAGAAGCACCCAGCGCATCGGTTGTATACCGCTATTTCTCGCATGGATCGCCTCTGCCTAAGACACGATACTTGGCGATATCACGAGGGTATAGGGTGGAATTTGGGGGGTTTTTTTTCCCCTGCCATTTCGGCTCAGTTCCGATTCCTCCATTGGCATATCTTTAGAGTGATACAGGGAATGACTTCATTTGACGCACGTGGCTATACAAGCCAAGGACCAGCCACAAAACGTGTCAATGGAGTTCCTTGGAATGGATTATATTTTATATATTGGGTCTGAGACATAGGTACAATTCAGGTTAATATGGAGATTAGATAGTCAGGGCAAGAGTATTTGCGGAAAGCTTACTTAGGTCACTTGACCTTACTAAGATGGTCTAGCTTGATTAATAATAATAGATTAATAATAATCTGAAACATAAACAATCAAGTCAATTTCATGGAAAATGTCATAGACAAAGTGTATCGGGTTGAGGGGTAGAAGCGGGGGGTAGAAACCTTGGAAATACAATCTGCGAGATCCATTGGATACAGATTGTCGCGGATTTCTTCAATGACGACAGCAACTGTATCGGTCAAGCGATCAGCCAACGGCCAACGAGTATCCCGGCACGCCCGCATAGTAATACTCCAGCAACAAGAAGCATTATCAGGTTTAGATACGGAGTTTTTGAAATCATTGCCCCGCTATAATATATAGCAAATTGACTAGAAAACCAACCTGCACGTGGAGCATTAATACCTACTATATACCCTATAAATATTAACAATCGGCCTCCATTTGCTGTTATAATAACAAGTATAAGGCGCATACCAATCTAGCTAGCAAAGCCCGAAGCGCTCGGACGGGGCTAAATCTCGTGTCTTCGTTCCATCCTTCTCCGCTCAACCGTTTAGCGTTTAGCCGTTGATATTACGAGCTAAATAAGTACGCTAGGGATGCCAATATGTAGTCTGGCGAACGTCGACTTCCCCATTTGAGTATATGCATTACAATCATGCTAGATAGTATGGTGTGATTTTTTAACAGGTTTGCGTCGGGTGTACTCTGATCTTCACGCAATAACCAATCAATTCCAGCCCATGCGGCGACATACGGAAGGTACGATATCCAGGGCATGCATTGGACTGGATCGGGTAAATGCGTTGTAAATCATAACCGGAGGCTCGATAAGGATCGCGTCAGATCGGTGCTTTTAGATCTTATGGTCTTTTTTTTTCTTTCATTAAAGTGTAACAAAGTACAGTATTAACAATAGTACATTGGATGTATGCAGGGTTCTAATAAATTGGTCTACTCATGAGTCATATTGACGTACTTCGTATCCAGTGGATTTGTGAAATTATGCGTTCCACTACCGCGACACCCGCCCTCGTGATCATCCCTGCTAGCTTTGCTAATGCTAGCTGATTAGTGAAAACGGGCAGGTGGATGTCACCCGCAGTTTCCCCCAGGTCTTATTTATGCACGACATAAAGCGTTGGACCGTATTAATAACGTACTTTGTAGAATAAATGACAAAATTGCTCTGTTGGGTATACTAAGTCTATGGTACATGTGATTCAGATTCGGCCAGATGCAGGAGAAAACATAAGAAAAAAACCAGAAAAGAAAGGAAACAAGATTAAAAAGACATCCAAACGGGATGACATGGTGGTCAGGGAAAAAGAAAAAGACGCAATCTGCACCCGATCAATAGGGTGTAAGCAATGCGACGATCGCGAGGATAACCCCGGTTGATCCGAGGCAATAAGACAGTGGGTGATAGATGAATTCGCATTGTCCAATTAATGCGCAACGGGCTGAGGAGCTGCAGCTTTCTCCGCACTGCGCGTCATAGGTCGGGATCGAACAGCTGAAACGAAAGCCCCACATAAGACCGGGGGGCGTGATCAAGAGAGTTGGAAGTGAAACAAAGAAGCAAGAAATAGAAAGGCTATTAATGCAGGTCGAGGGGATGGCGCCGGCGCTGGGTCCCATCGCGAGCGAGTAAGGTTGCTGAAGAGCGAGAGAACAAAGAAAAATGGAAAAGTGAATTCCATGAAAGAGAATTAAAAAAAATTGTCCGAGGCCCAGCATGCATTGAGCTGTAGCAATTGCATCGTTGGAATTGTAATGCCAAGAGACGATAATGGACGGGTGGCAGAGCACGCGCTCTTTGTGTTGTCCGTCTCTCAAGACTTCCAGGGCGTCTTTTGTTTGGGTGGAAATTAGGTGTTGAAGGTCCGAATCGAAAACAAAGGATCGCAGGTAAGAGTCGAAACTAGGTCGAAGTCGAAGTCGTGATATCCATGCGGAGGGTCCAGGTCGTGGGCGGATCTGGTGGGACCAGAATGCGCCAGTGTCATCATGTTCGTTGAGAAGAGGGGACTTGTGGACTGTTTATTTTGGAAGCGGAGGCAGAGGGCCCTTGGGAGGAGGACCGGGGCATGGAGGGAACTGAGAAGATCCGACGGAAGGCATTGTGAATTGGAAGGTTGGTATGGTGAGTTGGATAATGTTCAAGTAGCAGATTGGAATACCAAGCTAGTAAGATTGTAGAATATGGTGTAGAGTAGAGTAAAGTGGATGGAGAGAAGAAGGGGAAGAAAAAAGGTTACCGGAGCAGGATTCTTATAGAAATGAAATGGTCTCCTCCCCCCAACCTTTCCGGTCAACCGTCACTAATTACTTAAATTAATCCCTAAAATAAAATAAAAAATCCCCATCGAACATCCCTGCCATGAACAGGAGGCTGAGTATCCACCTGATCTGACGTAGGAATTTATTGCGATTTACTTGACTTAGCCTCGGGCCAAGATGAATAATGCAGCCCCAAGTGGAAATCCAATAGAAAATTGCCATTCTTTTCTAGAAGCTCCCCACTACTTCTGTGGCTTGTGTTTCTTGTGAACCACTAGTGGAAGAGTGGGAAAAAATGAGACACTGTAAACATATATGTCGTGCTACCTTCAATATACATACAGAAATGAATAAAAGGCTCTAGAAATTACTATCTACATTGGTCTAACTATGCACCTTTAAGAAAATTACTGTTCTAGTCTCACAATTCCCTCTATGTGCAGTAAATCATGAAACCACGAGATGACAACTAGTAAAGGGCAATCTCCCGTGGGCCCACCAAGGCTCCATAGGGACGGTTCCTTGATGCGGTGAGAACGACTTTTTTTTTAATTTCTTTTCTTTTTTTGGAATATATATATATATTTTTTTTTCCATTTTATTGTACAACCTTCGTAGTTCGTAAATGTTATTGGAACATGATAAACCACATTAGGTCCAAGCACATTAACCCCGTATATATGACTCAAGAGAATAACAAGACGTCAGGTCATAACACGTGCATGTTTGCAGATCCCGAGAGAGTAAGGCGTTAGTGGGAGAGGGGAATATAAAAAAGAAAAAAGAAAACTAGAAAGACTCAAAAGACCAAATAGGAAAAAGAAAAGACTAAAAAAGGAAAAAGAATAAGAACACCGATAATTTTTCCCGTTGACTTAGGTCAAACGGGATGGCCGATTCGTATTAATTACACTAAGGCGGGTGTCAGCCGAGATCCCAGAATGCTGGGATTACAAAATAAGAATAAGTCTCTTCCGGATTCCTTGCCGATGTCTCTTAAACGGATATATGACATATATCATGTATATATAACCTATATAATATGCCTAGGGTACGGAGTACATATGCATATACTTCGTATAGAGACATCTAGACAGCAGAGTGCTCAGGGGTCGAATTAAAAGAATAAAATAAAAATGAAATCTGAAATCGAGGATCCATTCTGAACCGTGGTTTTTTTTACCCGTGCTACCAAACACAATAAAGCCGTGGTTGAAATCTGCAAATAGGTCGAACCCTTTGGGGTAATTGATATCAGGTTGCTTATTTTACCTGACTTCTAACGGGGTTCGTTTTTAGTATCTTAGTATTCTTATGTTTTTTTTTTTTAGTATGCACTTCGGCTATTATTCCAATTTATATGTATATTATAACTCCGTACTCCGCACTCCATATGGAGTACATAATCTCCTTTTTTTTCTCTTATCTATTATCTTCTACCGCTTAGACCCCTCTAGGGCTCCTAATAACAACATGTAATACAAAGACCGATTTTTCAATGAGCGGATCGCATCACCGCCGACGGAGTACAGAGCCGATTAACCTCCGCCTATAGTGATTATTGTGGCTGATAGTCCCTGGCCAAGATCGTCTTGCTGCAGAGGACTGTGCATTGCACATCATCATTTCAAAAGTATGCAGAACAACGTCGTAGCACATTAGTACTACATCTGGAGAAAAAAAGATGGATCCCTGTATGCAATATATGACCCCAGGCCTCATGATTATTGGTTAATAGTGAAGATTGCATCGAGAGGGGTTTGTCCAACTTTTTTTTTTTTTTGTTTCCCCCTCATTTGCCTTAGTTGCATTGCGCACATCACTGGGACTTAGGTTTCACGATGGGAGATCTACTTCACCCCCCCCCCTGGTGTGGCGTTTATGGCGTGCTCCCGTGTAGCCGTTACTTGGGAGTGTGGTGTGAGGGTGAATTGGATGTGTATGTTGGAAGTGTGTGTATAAAAAAGAAAACGTACAGACTACGACGATGTACTACTTACCTGAAGGAAATTCCCCAGCTTCGGGATGTTTACAAGTCTTCCCCCGGAAATTATCTGGGGCCACTAAATAATGCACTGGTTTTCCGTTACATCCGCCATATTCCTTGTTTTTCGGTCCTTTTTAAGAGACAAAAAACGGCCGGAACTCGGTAGGCAGAGAGATTATAGACACGTTAGTGTTAGAAAATGTTCATGCACTCTGCCCTATGCAGTAAGATTGTATTCCCCGGCATACCCTTAAGTCCGTGGATATACAACGGTACCATTCGGGATTTGTAAACCTTGGCGGAGACATTCAAACAGGCAGGTAAAAGGCATTTGTAATATGACAAGAGTATAATTACCGACTTAAGTATAATTAGTATAACATGGGATATGAAAGAGAAGTGGGGGTTGTGGCAAAAGGAAAAAGAGTTATGCGACCACACGGGTGTACCTGAACTAAGGCCGGGGGAACCAAGGAAAGGGGAAACGAAAGTGGCAAAAAAAGAAGAAACACACATGGAAGAAAAAAAACTCTACCCATGAACTAACGATCCACAAACTTCAATAAAAGATCCCAATTAGGTCAAGTTCGTACTCCACTTGGATTCTCGCTCCGCACCGTTGAAAAAAGAAAAAAAAGGCTGTGGAGTACATAGTATTTGGAAAGTCGGAGATTTATGACTTGTTAAGCATGCTAAACAGATCGGGAATTACACCCCCTGATCGTAGCACGATCGGGTTGAGATATGTCGAATAGCCATGTTTATTGGTTGACTTGCAGGCCAAGATACTCTAGAGAATAGTTCAGATGCTTGAGTAGAGGCATAAATATGCAGTGTTAGTTAAATTTTTTTTTTTTTTTAAAAAAAAGTACGGTCTATATTAAATTTTGGGTGCCGAACCCAGCATATCGGTATGGAGCACTTTGTACGGAGTACATACTTTGGACTAAAATCCTATGAAAACCTGTTGGGGTCACGGGACGAGATGGAGACTTGTTTCAAGTTGAGCTCCACTTGGACAATCTTCTAGCTTGCCTTCTGGAAGTGCGGCCCGAGGTTGGGAGAATCCATACCACATGGGGTTTTTTTTAGATATATATTGTAGGTGGAATCGAAATGTCTCCGAAATTAGAATGTGTGAGAGACTAGTTTCATACCCTTGTTCCATGTTGTAGTGTGTCATGAAGGCAACCGAGACATGTAAACAAGAGAGCCAGGTAGAAGTCAATATCACACCATGTCTTATAACATGCAGATCATCAAGACGTTACTGGCTGCATACACCCGGGGCCCCGTAGCTGACATTCTCGTCTCAGCGGCTCTGTATGTCTGGCACTGTGGTTGAAGAGTCATCTGGGGAGTATGAGAGCCCGCCACTTGTGTGACCCTTCGGTGACACCCACATGCTGAGCACAACATTTGCACAGTGCAAGTCCTGCCGCGGCCCGGAAGGTGCTGTGCTCTCATAAGTGACAGCCTCGTAGATCATGGAATCGACGTATGATTTCACAGGATGAGACAAAGTCTCTGGTTGAGGCATCTTCTAGCGTTTGCAGGGGCTTGAAACAAAATACAATAATTCTGCCAGTGTCACAGTCACAGGGCCCTTGGCGATCATCCCACCACGGCTGCCCACCTTGGGATGTTGGGAAAAGCTTAACCGTAAACGAGATCCCTGCGTGGATCAATCCTCAACAGACGCCTGGGCCTGAGTGGAAATCCATTCTTCCATTAGAGGTTGCCGAGTTGACTCAGATGTCACGGCACTTGGTCGGCTTTTATTGCCCTTCCGAGTGATCAACAGACACAACACCCATCCGCAGATATTGAAGCTCTCATAATGGGTGGTGAAACGAAGCTTCTTCTCGTCACTGCCACTCGTGTCTTCGGGCACCCGGTCTTCCATGGTTGTCCGATTTCTCTTACTTGAACGGCGTCTATTCTCCGATGCAACTTCGTCCGTGGATTCAGGAATATTGTGCAGTTCCAGATCAGGCTCACTGTCGCTCTCGATCATAATTCCACCGTCTGCCGAATCAACCGGGTTGGCAGCCGTATCCCCCGAGACATGGTCTGGTTTCACCTCCATGTTCAAGTCTTGATCCTGATTTTCCTTTCCGTGGAATGTCTTGCTGCGCGTGAGGAGCGAATGGCGGGTACGGGATTCGCGGAGGAAGATGGCCACGTCGAAGTCGTCTAGGTAATGTGTTAATATACTTGTTCGTTATACGGGGAATATCGAGTGATCTATACCTTCGACAATGACATCTTTGACCGGCTTGCCCTTCTTGCGCATAAATGACCGCTCATTCTCTTCGCGCAGCTTCGGAAGAACCAACGGGCGAACCGCCTCGATGACGCGCGGCAGGACAGGATCGCGAGAGTCCAAGAGCCATCGTGAATCGGATGGGGTATCGAGATAAATGCGACATTCCAATACTGAGTATTTGCTAATGCGAAGGTATCGTCGAATGGGAGCCATGTTCGAAGGTGCTGCGCAAGGGCGTGGTTGAAAGGGCCCTATGACCTCAAGATAATGCCAAGCGCCTTTACCGCCAATGCTCTCTGATTGGCGATCAAGACGCCTGAAAGGGCTGCAAGGACTCTCAGGCAAGGGGGCCGTCGGGCCACGTTTCTTCAAACTTCTTTCATTCTCCCAATCTTCCTAATGCTTTCAAATATTTCTATCAAAAACACAAAGATGGAACAAAATACCCCGGGCCAGACCATAGTGAGGACCTTCCAAGCTTATCTCCCACACACGTGATTTAATCACCGGAATCGGAAGACTCCCAAGGTCCTCAACACGCTAGTCTTAAGCTAGTCTTAGGTACCGGATACTTTCGCACACACCCACAATTGTATGGGTTTTTAAGTATCTGGTACCGGCCAGATAGAGTGTAAAACTCCGTCCTTGACGTCTTCACGCTCCCAAGGTCCCCAATGGATCCCCTCTAGGGCTGCCACCCGTTGATAATAACCAAGATCCCGCAAAATCTGATTTGCTTTCGATTCTGTCTTTTATTATCCAAAGCCGTGATTTTTATATCTATCTCGACTGAATTCTCTGGTGCTCCCAGGGTACTCATTCTGATAAGAAAGCCCAGAGATTCCACGTGCCACTCATATGCACGCGCGGTCTGAGGAAGTTTTTATCTTCTCACTGTCTTCGGTTCAATCAGTACCCACACAGTTCGACATTGTCAGCCTCTAGTGATTTCATGCATTAGTGGACCAACAACGCATCTCGCCTACCATCGAGGACCTTGGGGATTGTGGTCAATTACCTTCCCGCACACCCCCGCTACGAGATTGCGGCCATTAAAACCATTCTTCTCATCTCAACCAGATCAACAATCTTCTCTAGTCAACTGGGATACTTGCACCGTCATCTAGCTTGTTTGTATTCTGTGAACCTTCTTTGGTCCGCACAAACTTCCTTTTCGTCCCACCTCTACACTTCCTCCATACTGCTGGTGTCACCTTAAATCGGCCTCGATGGAATCCTACTCTACCCTCCTCAAGCGTGAGGACGCTTGTGAATCAGGGAATGAGTTCGACGGCCGCATGGGCCTGCGGATCTCCTCCATCTTTGTGATCATGGCTGGCTCCATGTTCGGTGCTCTGTTCCCGGTCTTCGCTCGCCGCTTTAGCAAAAAGGGGGGTTTCCCAAGTGGGCATTTTTTGTCGCCAAATACTTTGGATCTGGTGTGATTATTGCCACTGCTTTTATTCACCTATTGGCTCCGGCTGAGGAGGCATTGAAGAACGAGTGCCTGACCGGCCCCATTACTGAATACAGCTGGGTGGAGGGCATCATCCTTATGACCATTGTTGTTCTGTTCTTCGTAGAGCTGATGGTTATGCGTTTCTCGCACTTTGGCCAAGGCCATCTGCACGACGAGGAAGGCAACACCCACACCCAACTTGATGATCACTCTATTGTCAACGAAACCTCCGAGCCAAAACATCACATCCCAGGGGAGGATCACCTTGGTCATTCCCGTGAGCACCACGATAATAGCGACGCCGAAAACGAACTCCAAGCGGCTGAAGACTATGCCGCTCAGCTCACTTCGATCTTCATCCTGGAGTTCGGTATCATCTTCCACTCTGTTTTCATTGGTCTCACTCTTGCAGTGTCAGGCGCTGAGTTCACTACCCTTTACATCGTGCTTGTCTTCCATCAAACCTTCGAAGGACTCGGTCTTGGCTCTCGTCTAGCTACAATTCCTTGGCCCAAATCAAAGCGCAATACTCCCTACTTCCTGGGCTTTGCCTTTGGAATCTCGACTCCAATTGCCATTGCTATTGGCTTGGGTGTTCGAAACAGCTACCCACCTACCGGGCGAACCACTCTCATCATCAACGGTGTCTTTGACTCTATCTCTGCTGGAATTCTCATTTACACTGCCCTCGTCGAGCTGATGGCCCACGAGTTCATGTTCAGCCACTCCATGCGCAAGGCTCCCATCCGCGAGGTGCTGGTTGCCTTCTCCCTTCTTTGTGCTGGAGCTGCCCTGATGGCGTTGTTGGGTAAATGGGCATAGAGGTATATCTGCTGCTTCGGCGATTGAAAAAATCAATCTGGGAACATTATTCTTCCCAATAATGTGTCATGTCTTTGCTTTTCTTTGCCAAAACTTTTCTATTATGGTCACATGTCGTTTCTGCATCTGTGATACCCAAGGGATCCGGGCCAGTTTTAGCCATACATATATCTGGCGTTACTTTAGCGAATGTATTCACTTGAAGCCCATTTATAAAAACATTTCAACCGAGGACAGTCAAGCTGTAGCAGAATAGATGACACAAGTAGCAGTAGACCCAGATCTAGCAGGACCCGTCTTATATCTCGGCCCGTATAACTGTAACCCACATGCATGTCATACTACATGAATACGTGGACCAACCAAGCCCAGCCTTGAAGCCAATCGTAAACAAGCGACTAGTTTAATTACTAGTCCACGCTTAGCCATTTCCACTGTAAGGCTGGTTCCTGACAGGGGTTCCCTTCCCCGCACCAATTTGTACAACAGGCTGAAAATGAAATAAAGAGCAGGGAATTCCCCGGGGTGCTTGGCACCTTTGATCGCTCCAGTCCTGCCTGAAAGAACCACACTCCAAAACCTCCCCCAAACCATCTCTCAAGGCCATCGAAATGTCTTCGGCACGCAGCTTAACTGCGCTGCCTGGGTGCGATGACTCTAAGGTTACGACTCAAGACACCACCGACCAAGTCGAACCTACCCATTCATCGGGTACATCGTTGAGGCAACAAAGTCTATCGGACCTTTTCACTATTGTGAGTGCATAATTCCGCCTCTCCATCCCAATTTCTTTGTTGCTTTTCATTTTGCCGCACTCGCGATTCAAAGTAGCAACTGACAAACTGGATGGTATTCAATAGTTTGCAAGCGGCTTCGCTCTGATCAGCGATGGATACCAAAACAATCTGATGTGCGTCGACTGATTGCTCCCATGCACGACTGTGTCTAACCGCAGACCACAGGACTATGACCAATGTCCTTCTCAAAAAGGAATATCCCAAGGAGTACACTACCACTGTCAGCACTCGCGTTTCGAATGCTCTACTTGTTGGGGAAGTCATTGGACAGGTTGTTGTTGGGTATGAAGACACTTAAAAGTTAGGGCTATGGAAGAGTTCAGATGACTGACGATACTATACCAGACTGACATGCGACTATCTTGGCCGTAAGATCGCCATCGTCTTCACGACCCTCATGATTGTTGTTGGAGGTATTCTCGCTACAGCCTCGCATGGCGTTACCATTGATGGCATGTTCTGGATGATGACTGTTGCTCGTGGTGTTGTTGGGTTTGGTAAGTACAGCCTCAAAAGAATTGCACTACTTGCATATCCCAGAGATATCATTCCGATTTGGTGGCTCGACTAACGATATCCAGGCGCCGGCGGCGAGTATCCGGCCTCTTCGACTTCAGCATCAGAAGCAGCAAATGATCTAATCCCGAAGCACCGTGGCCCAGCATTCATCATGGTAACCAACTTTCCTTTGTCATTCGGAGGCCCATTCGCAGTATCGATCTTCTTGATCGTACTCTCGGCCTGCCAGCAGTCCCACTACAGCACCGTGTGGCGCGTATGCTTTGGTATAGGATGCATCTGGCCACTATCAGTGTTTTACTTCCGAATCCGCATGCTTAACTCGGTTCTGTACCGACGCGGAGCAATCAAGAAACACGTACCCTACATACTCGTGATACGGTATTACTGGAAAGCATTAATTGGAACTTGCGGTGCTTGGTTCCTCTACGGTAAGAGAAATCCCCTCTACGGTATTTATAGAACCTGTGGAAACTAACACGTCTAGACTTCGTCACATTCCCTAACGGCGTCTTCTCTGGCACGATCATATCCTCTGTCGTGCACGACGGCACAATCCTAAAAACAGGCGAATGGCAACTCCTCCTCGGCGCAATCGCACTACCAGGCGTCTTCCTCGGCGCCATTCTCTGCGACCCTCTCGGCCGCAAGCGCATAATGATGATCGGCTTCAGCGGATACCTAATCTTCGGCCTGATTATCGGCTGCGCCTACGACCGCATTACCAAGATCGTGCCTCTCTTCGTCGTCTTCTACGGACTGATGCAAAGCTCCGGGAATTTCGGTCCGGGAAATATGCTCGGTCTGATCTCGTCGGAGTCGTATGCTACCGGTGTGCGGGGGACTTGTTATGGGCTTTCTGCGGCTATTGGGAAGGCCGGCGCTGCTGTTGGTACGCAGGCGTTTCAGCCTATTAAGGATCATCTGGGGAATAAGTGGACTTTCATTATTGCTGCTATTTGTGGCGTTGTTGGGATTTTGGTTACTTTCTTCTTTGTGCCTGATTTGACGGGTGAGGATTTGAGGGTGCGTGATGAGAAGTTCCGTGCGTATCTTGTTTCCAATGGTTGGGATGGTGATATGGGCGAGGATGAGTTGAAAGCGGCGGCTGATCAGGTCATGGACCCGGGTTCTGATGATTCCAAAGTAGTGAACCAGATGGCGAAGGGTTAAAATGGCTTTTGGCGGATGGCTGAGCGTCAGGAATGGGGATGTCACGACATCCCTAGATGACCTCAAAACCAACGGTTGCTCGGATCTCAATTGTTTAAGTAGAACTACAGTGGGATACCCGCATAATCGTAGTCAATAATAGCACAAAATCTTCAAATACTGCAAGTATATAACTGCTACATATGTAGTTACAGCCACCTACGTAAATATATAGCCTCTGCTTCCTTTGGCGTCTTTATTGCATACCAATTGGTATCTTTCGAGGCCCCCTATCCTGCCTAGTCTACTAGCATTAGCAAAATATGTAACGAGCAATAAATATCCTTTTAATAAGCCATTGCTGACAATCAAGGAGGTAAAACTTGCCCAGGTGCCTGCAACCATAAGGTTAAAGCACAGACCAACGCTAAACCGCGGTCCAGTCTCCGCATTATCTGTCCACATCCCGAAACTCCTCTCTCCTCCAATTCCCTCCCCAATCAACCACATAAACACAAAATGCGTCTCACCTCCATCCTCGTCGCAGCTCTCAGCTCCCTGGCAGCTGCCGCCGAGCTCGGCATCGAAGTCACCCACGCCGTCGAGTGCACCCGCAAGACAGTCAACGGTGACGGAGTCGCCATGCACTACCGCGGCACCCTGCAGTCCGACGGATCCGAGTTCGATTCCAGCTACAAGCGTAACTCGCCTTTGACCTTCAAGCTGGGCACTGGCCGTGTTATCAAAGGGTGAGTTGGAAGTTATCCGGGACTGTTTGTAGATGTCAATCGTGCAATTGCCTACAAACATCCTTATTATCTTGGTCGGAAGCTAATTCGTGTTTACAGATGGGACGAGGGCTTGCTGGATATGTGCATTGGCGAGAAGCGCACGCTGACTATCCCTCCCGAGTTCGGATACGGTGACCGTGGTGTTGGCCCTATTCCCGGTGGCGCGACGCTGGTGTTTGAGACCGAGTTGGTCGGTATTGATGGTGTGAAGGATGAGCTTTGAATGAGTGGTGCTTGATACCTACCTATATGAGGAATTCTCTCTGGGAGGGATTTTGATGATCAGGCCGTTTTATCTGGCTAAGGACAAATATACACCTTTTCGCGTGCGAATTGTTTAATAATATAGTAGCAGGGTATCTTTTCTATGTGTGGTAAGATGTACACGGTATACAACCGGATGAATAATTACAGCAAAGTAAAACAGCAAAAAGCGGACTAGTTATCAGTCCATCGCATCCATCTCATCCTCGGTCTGGGTATCATGCTCCGAAACCAGAATTCCAATCAGACACTCGCCGAGAATACCCTCCCAGTTAACCCAAGGGTGGATATCCTGGAACAGCTGTGCGGAGTCCTTGCCCGCGCCACGGAGGAGCTCGCCCCTCCCACCTGGATGGTAAGGGGCGTAGGGCGAGATATTGTATACCTTTCCATGGTACGAAGTCCAGGCATCCCGACCCTTACGCCCATGCTGCTCCTTCAGCATTGACGGCGTGACCCGCAACAGACCTGGGGGAAGGCCTTCGCCGCGGAGCTTGTTCTTCGGGTTCGCTGCTAGCGCTGCCCAGTCAAGGGGCGAGAATCCTGGCTCGAGAATCACTTTGCGCGATGAGGATGACTTCTTTAGAGATACCTGTGTCGGGGCGAGGGTGCTGTTGCTAAGACGGCTGCCGCTGCTCGGTGCGCTCAGGCCGCGCTGAGAGGCGGCTGCCGATGGTGGTGGGCTAAGGGAGTTGCCGCTGAGCCGTGGGGGTTGGAGCGTGCTTGTGGGGGTAAGGCGGTTCGCTTGAGCTGCTGGTCGGAGCCGTGGCACCGGGGGTGGAGGCATTAGGGAAGAGGCGCCTGTGGTTGTTGCCTTCGAGGGTATAGATGATGGTTGTGGTTTCGGAGGGGGTGCGAGGGATGGTTGTGGTGGCGGTTGGAACTTTGGTGCCTCATTATCACGGTTTATCGAAGATAGTTGTGCTGCTGTTCCATTCATGGGTTGTGAAATGGACGATATTTTGGCAGGCTGCGATGTCTCGTGCTCGCCGTTGTCCAGGCTAAATGTAGGGACCGCAAGGACAGGGAGTGGTACGCTCGACACCGAAGCCTTGGGTGTACTCTGATGATCCTCCTCATCTGTCTCTATTGGCTTCGAGTCCCTTGGGCCATCCTTCCGCTGCACAGGCTCCTCTGCGGTGGCAGCGGCAACCGGCGCGTCGGGGTTGGGTTCCGGAGGCGCAGAAGAACGAGGCTCGGCCCAGCTGCGAGGGGGGTAGCGGTAGAGAAAGTAGGCTGCTGTTACGACAAGCACACCCGCGCCAACCCAACCCATGCTGGACTATGTCAGAAATGCACTGGAAGTGGGAAAAATGAGTCCAGATGGTCGTTCCTGATTAGAATCACAAGCTTGCAGATTCGCCGAGAAAATTGGCCCGTGCGCTATAAAAGGCCCCCAGATCTATGCAGCATTCAGGGTCTGTTCAATACAAGGTCAAATTCTATTTAAGGAAGTGATATTTCAATTTTTTGGGGGGGATTAATTAGACTCATTATATTGAGATATCTAAAACAGGACAATTTACTATACTGTCTGCTTCAGGTGCCAAGGGGAAACAATACATTGCCAGCAGTCAACCTTATGTCTGACATCGCTGGCAAATCTGCCTGGGAAACCTTGGAAGGAATGGACTCCGGGGAAGCCATTGAAAGCCACCAATTGGATATCGGTGGTAAATAAAGCATCAAAAACAGAAGGCGTTCATGATGTCAGTGCATCATCATCTATAGTTGCCCACGCCCTTTACCAGCGATGCGAGGGATTTGATTTTGCACATCACTGCCCAAGCATGGTTGTGGCTCATAGAGCTCTGAGGGACCAGATGTTCCGTAAAACAATGTCGACCTCAGACGCAATCACGCTCTTTGACGCCGGGGCTGGCCAAGTGAGTGTCAAGGTGCATGGCCCTCGCACATCTATCGTACTTATCAATGATCAAATGGCAGGCCCAGGGTGATAGGAAGCATCAAGAGGATCGGTGTGCAGTGATCTTTCCGAATCAGTTTCCTTCGAACTTCAAGGACAAAGTTGCATTCTTTGCAATCTATGATGGGCAGTAAGGAAAGCCTCAAAGTACGCCCTTTAAACTAGTCTCGTACTGACCAATATCTATCTCCAGTGGTTCTGGATTGGTGTCAGAACATGTTAATCACACTCTGCACCACCTGCTTGGACGGCGTCCAGACTTCGAACGAGAAGATTGGACCGGGGCCATCAAGGGAGCACTGGCAGAGGAAGACAGTATTCTGTTGGATAGGTTCAAGCATGAATCCGCCGAGCCTGCCATTTCAGGGTCGACAGTGGCAATCTGCTGCATTAATCTCACCAAGGGCGAGCTGGTCGTATCCAATCTTGGCGATACGCATGTTATCTTGGCCGAGCGGGACCATAAAACAGAGCACCCGTATCACATTGTACGCACTGTTGTTGATTGGGTTGATTTGAGTTGATTTGAACATGGATACTAACAAGCACGCCACTAGCGACGTCTCACAGAGGCTCACAAGCCCGGTACTCCCGGAGAAAAGAGGCGCATTGAGAAGGCAGGAGGGGAAGTCAACAACCGCAGCGGCACAGAGCGGCTTGGTGGGTTTAAGAAGAAGATCAGCCCAAACCAAACACTGACTCTTGAGAAATAGGCTCCTTAAACATGTCACGAGCACTCGGTGACCTGCAGTACAAGAATCCGGTTAATACTTTCACGGACAACTCCGTGGTAGACCCCGCCACGTCGGCAACCAGCCGATCGGAATCTCGGGGCAACTTCCTATCCAATGAACCCTATACCTCACGACGGACATTGCACACAGACCGCCGTTACCTGTTACTTGTGGTGTCCGACGGAGTCACTGATCGAGTAGACGACACAAACCTGGTTCAGCACGTGATGAAGTTATCGATGCGGGGGAAACGAGCGAGCGAGATTGCACAAGAAATCGCCACCAATAGTGCTAACAAGCGTCATAGCGATAATGCAACGTGTATTGTAGCTATGTTGGATGGACAGGGATCGTGAGATATTATATGAATGCTACACAAGATATTCAAGATATACTAACAAAATTTCCACTCGGTAAAAAAATGTTATGCAGCTGTGCCACAATCCACTCACAGTCCACTCACAGTCCACTCACAGTCCACCAACGGTTCAGTCCTAACCCAATCAAGAAGGTGGTGTTGAACCGTTTTGGACCTTTTTGGATTTTCAAATATTTGACACATTTGATCTTTAAATTAGAAATGTTTTATAAAGACATTGTTGAACTTGTTTTGAGTCCTTGGTCCGAGCCTAATTGAAAAAAAAAAAAAAAAAGAGAAGACCAATCAATTTCAATTGTGGCGTTTTTATACGGAGAAATATAGGAAATATAGGGAAACATAGGGCATCTACTCCGTACTCCGTAGGACATCTAGATTTTAGCGATTTGCTCGGCCTTTTCGCTTTAAATATCATGCAATTTGAGTTGTATTTTATAGATTGTAACTATGACTGTATACGCATAAAATCATACGGCTTCTCCGTAACATCCCCCATGTCTCCGGCATGAAGGGCTTGTCGCTTACTGCCACCTACCCTGTTTTATCCAGACCTCCAATGGACCTTTGAAAACCCAAACACGCCAGGGGGCGAAACAAGGGCCCTTGAACCGGTCTGTTGGAAAACTCTTCAAACTCCTTTAGGCAGGCGATTCAGTCTCGGGGTGGAGCTGAGGAAAAAAAAAAAGAAGCATGAGATCCGGTTGTACTCCGTAGCCACCTTCCAGAACGGTCAATACTGAAGAGGATCTCCCGAGCATTTGATACAAAATAACCCATCTATTCCCTGGGATTTTTTTTCCTTCCCCTCCTAATCCGGTTTTTTTCTATCCTCGTTATTGCTATCTTTTCATATATTGTATCCCTCCAATGAACCTGACGGAAACCAGGTGTCTACCAACTCAAACGTCCAGCATGGCATCAAAGGAGTGGAGTAACTTCCATGTGGGAAGAGAATGTAGCCACCAAAAGTGGTCTCGACGAAACACCCCCAAGTTCACCATATCCTCCGGCGAGACTGTTTCTTTCGATGCTATTGATAGTAGCAATGGTCAACTCGATACTTCATCCACAGCCTCGGCCATCGAGACATTAGATCTCGGTCTAGCCAATCCCGTCTTCGGCCCCATCTATATGAACGACGCTCAACCCGGCGATGTCCTCAAGGTAGAAGTCTTAGATCTCGAGGTCGCCGACTGGGGCTGGTCCGCCATTATCCCAGGCTTCGGTCTGCTGGCAGACGAATTTCCAGAGCCAGAGATCAAGATCTGGGAGCTAAACCGCGAAGCAGGCTTCGCCCAATTCAAAGACATGCGTATTCCCTTACGTCCCTTCCTCGGATGCATGGGTCTCGCCCCAGCCAACGACGAAGAACTCTCGACCGTGCCGCCCACAAACGCAGGCGGAAACATGGACTGTCGAGAACTAAGCGTCGGCTCCACCGTTTTCCTCCCCGTTCAGACTGCCGGCGCTCTCTTCAGCTGCGGTGACGGTCACGCTGCACAGGGTCACGGCGAGGTCTGTGGCACTGCCATTGAAACCCCGATTCGCGCTACCCTCCGCTTTGAACTACTCAAGAACCAAGCTTGGATGACGGCCCCCCAGTTCCAGACTCCTCCCCGCGCCCAAATACCAAACCCCCTTCCCGACCTTGGAACATACGGTGCTCTTGGTATTGCTCCTGATTTGTACGAGGCTACTAGAATTGCTACTCGGAACCTTATTCAGTGGCTGGTGCATACTAAGGGTCTCACTCGCGGTGAAGCATACATGCTTGCTAGTGTTGCTGGTGACTTGCACATTGCTGAAGTGGTTAACGTGCCTAACTTTGAAGTGGCTATGACACTGCCCTTGGGCATCTTCTCTTGATGTATTTTCTTTTCTATTTTGTTTTGGAAGATATCCTTGACTGGTTTCAAGAGAACATATGCTGGCGTGATACCCTTCTGAGAATATTGATTGGTTTTGTTATGATTTTATTTTATACTGGTGTGTATTTGCATGATTCAGGACAAGCGTTACTCAAGCGAGCATTTTATTCCTAATACAGAGTCTTCTCTTTGACCGAAAATCTGTAGCTGAGTCCATACCCTTTGGTCGTATATTGATTTTTCTCTGCGTAACGGGCCTATTTTAGCTGCCGCTTTTCTGAGGGGGTGAGTATACGCAAGTCAGGCCCGTCTGGATAAATTCATGCCGGAGCTCAGGCCGAGTCATCCCTGTACCGGGTCTTATAGATAGTAGTTGCTGGCTAAGTTCAATTACTATTTACTGTTACGAAGTTTGCCAAAAAAAGGAAATACTCCGCTTTTTCCCGAGATAAGCCCTCTCGGGATATGATGCCTCGATACTGGGTGAGCCACCAGGACGTGGGTATTATTTCTTAGGCGCCGTAGTCCGTACTTTATATAGTGATCGTCTCGGAATATTAATATTAAATCAGTGGGCCTCGGCATATGTGGATAACCAAAATGGCCCGTGCATAGTTGACATAATTTGTATTGCGCAAAGTGCCATATAACTATGTAGCCTCCTTGTATAGGTTACGAGTGGTGTACTGTCGATTCTTAACACCGTGGTTATATATGTAACCTGTGTCCCACGCAGCGATGAGTTAGGGTATATGATCTACCACACACATCTTATAGACACAAAGGCAGCGCCGTCAACGGCTATAATTATATCTAGATGAATCTATTGCTATTGAATTAAGTGACACGATATTCCTGTGTGACAAGCACACCGTGAGGAGGTGTGGGATGGTAAGGATTGAGAGACTCCTCATCACTGTCCTTTGAGAGTGCCTTCCCAACTAAACTGCCATCGTGAATTATATGTGTATCATGAGACGCATAGTTTAAGGATTCGAATGGGATCCCTGTCTCCTGCTTGTTTGAAGATGAGGCTCCGAAGTTTTTGTATGCGCCACGAAGGCCTCGCGAATATCGAGAGGGTCGCGAATCGCTGTGGACCGTGGAATTGTGCGCGTTGGCAATGAAGAGACGGAAGGCGGGTAGACAGGAAGTCACGATGGCAGCAGTATTTTCCAGCAAAGAAAATAGTTGGAACTTTATCGGATCGACGTTGTGTGATTTTGGGTTGGTCATAACCAGACGTAAGATGGCGAATATAATTGGAATAATTGGCAGTGAGAATAAACCAACCAAGATCCAGCGTTTTCGAGGGTCGACGTTCAACTTATAGAGGAGCGGAAATGGGATCACCATTACTATATATGAGATAGGTTAATATAGGCAGTTTCAATTGAGATGGGGAAATAACCAACCACAAAGATCACCTGCAATGTCGGCCCCGATAGAAAAGCGGAAAATGAGATTTGAGATGTATAGATCTCTCTTGGATGTACATGCTCCTAACTTGAGTTAGAATGTGAAAGAAAAAGGAAAGTCTGAACTTCTTACCTAGTATGAAATAATTGCTGATTGGATCACAAGCAAATTCCTGCATCACCACACTTATAATCCATGTCGACGCAGTGATCCCACACATGATCCACCAGAATATCCTCATAGAAGAATTCACCGAGTCAAACAATCTCCAGAAGAAGAACAGAAGCGAAAACTTGACCGCCCAGAGTGCGGTCCATAGGAGAATATCGGCAGCATATTGTAATTTGAGGAAAACCGATGCTCGGTCCATAAATCCCTCCGTCGGAGCCTTCAACCTGGCCCCGATATATGCGACCTCGTACATCGGGGGTATGGCAATTTGGTAGACTATAGCGGTTGCTAGGTGGCAGAACATGGCGAGGAATATGAAGTGATCATTAAGGAATAGCTTCTTGCTTTTTTGGTATTGAACGTAAGTTCGAATCACAATAAAAACAAACGAAAGTGCCACGCCGATCCACATCACTATCTAAAACTGTTAAGCTCACATCTTGTGGGATCGTTCACACAAAGGTTCTTACTGATTGACCCCTCTCGGATATCAATGGAACGTCCATTGAGGCTTCGGCGCGTTTCTCCCAGCCGGAAGAGAGGTAGTGGAGGGCCGAATCCATTTTGAATAGGAATGCTGGAATGGACGCATACACTATCTACCAATATCGCCACCCATGCATTTGGGTCTGCGCAAAAGATTCAACACAGAATTTCTACGGCTAAGGGGAAGCAAAAGGTTTAAATAATATGTCCCTTCTGGTGCCCCGGAGTTTTGACAAAAGTACTAATTTGAGATGCATTGCCCTTGCAGGGATTCCGAAGCTAATCGATACGAAGAATCTAGAATACATATTGTTGACTTATAACAGCAAGGCAAAGCGAAATTGCTGGGATTGTATGGATTTGAATCTCACATTGCTATGGGGCTCACTATGGGGCTTGCTTCAGCCATGTTGGGGGCCAGATTAGGTGGGGGCCGGATCCTGAGGGGCATTCTTCGCTTCGGCCCGCGTACGATATGATTTAACTGTTATTTGAAGTGGGTTAGAATGGTGATCTGAATTAACCATCTCAGTTGATTCACTGTCTCCAAGAACTCAGAAAAAAAGCACCGAGTATAAAGCACCGAGTACAGGCTGGGATACCCTGTACGAAGTTTTTCAGGCTAACTGATGCCTAGAGATTTTTAATTACGCTTGTCCTTCGTACTATTCCCTTTAATATCACTGGCGCAGCCACAGCCAACAACCGATGGACTTACTGCCGGAAAATTATCAATTTGGAGAAAAACTGGCGCTCGTCGCATCCAGCCGACAGAGCCAAGATGCGCTTGTTGTCTCCACTTTGACATCTAATAGAGGAAGCGAGGCTCTAATAGACGAAGCGAAGCCTTCTGTCCTGTCAAATCTTTCTCCATAATGGATCGAATTTATATCCTCCTCTGATATTGGCTGCTGGACAACCCGGGGACGCTAAGCTTTACGCGCTGTCTCAATTAGTTCAATTTTCCGGCCGACACTAACTTATGACTAGCAATTACTCCGTATAAGCAAAAATAGACGGTTTCATTTCGGATGTCAGGGGAAGCACAAGGGGGATGAATAGGTGGATGCAGGATTACGCAGTACAAAGCCTCCTATATTAAAGAGCAACATCCCTGCTCCATCAATGCCATTGTTCACAATTGTTTACTTTTTCTATCTACAAAATGAAGTTCCTCTCTTTCTGTGCACTCTCTTTCGCCGTTGCGGGCTCGGCCGTGGCATCCGCCACCAATGATATCGCCCCCATCGAGATTTCGGCCCTTCCTGGTCTCTATGCACCTGAGGTCTATACCGATGCTGGCACCATCGAGGCAATTCGAAACACACTTGCCATCTATGCTTTCGCTATTGATGGCAAGGACTTCGGTGCCCTTGACAAGGTCTTCACCAGCGATGCGGTGGCCAACTACTCGGCACCCCTCAACGTGTTGACCCCTCTGAGCACGATCAAATCTGTGCTGGGCACGAGCCTGGCTTGTGTGACCACTCAGCATCATCTCGGTACACAGCGTATTGATGTCCTTTCTCCCATCACGGCCAAGTCAGTGACATACTTCCGTGCCGCCCACTTCGGCAAAGGAGACTTGGAGAATGAGGTAGCCTATGCCTATGGCCAATACCAGGATAACTGGCAACGTCAAGCCAGTGGTACCTGGCGTATTGTTCACCGCAACCTTGTCTATATGGTGAGTTCATTATATCGCGAGCTAGCTACAAAAATATACTAACTCAATATCTACCTAGGGTCCCCAAATTGGCAAGCTGGCGGTTTTCCTGTGCTAGTTCGAAACAAAAAGTCGTTATATGTATTTATATTCAGACCATTTGAGCATGAAATTTCGACCACTTTGTTATCTACGATTTGTACTTATACGTTATTTGTGACAAACCAAACTCTTCGAGAGGAATTGAAATTTATATTCAACCAAGGAAAGCAGAACAAGCGAGACAGAGAGATAGAGAGACAGAAAGAGCTAAAGAAGTTACTTTGCCGTGACTCGCAGATGATGCCTGAGATATCAAGACGGCCTAGTTTTTCAAAAGCCTACATACCGGGTACACTCTGCAACTTATTGGCTTTAATTACCTAGTCTCTTACCTAGTCGATAGACATTCCCTGTACTCGGTCTGTTTTTAAATAATTCTACCGATGAAAACATTCTATCGACTAGAAAGGTAGGCCATAGAATGCCTTCATTTCTCAAGGTCCCGTTGGATGCCCCCGTAGAAATCCGCTGGAAAAGACCTAATTGGCTTTAATTGATTAGAGCTGGTATAGAGATGATGTTCTGTTATAGACAGGTCTTTCAGTGGACTCGACAAATACTTACATATACAGTTAGGATGTCAGGTCATACACAAGATGGATAGACTCCACCTAGGCAGGATCTAGGTAGGATCTGGGCAAGCTGGTAAGCAGAGAATTGTGCACAAGTTTGGAATAAAAAAGCGAGGAATGAACACTAAGGCGGAAATGGAAGTGATTTGATATATTACCACACCTGCCTTTTATGGTCTGGCCAAATCTTCTGTCGCAAAGGAAGATTAAGACTTATTCCGAGATCCTCTTGTCCTTACAATCGTCAAGCCTGTCCCGCTTTTCTTGAGCGCTTGTGTCAGATAGGCAGGTCGGAATCCGGAACGGGAGGAGACATCGGGCCCACTGCCGGTGAAGATTGAGAAACCTCAAAACACCAACAGAAGTACGAAGCACGTATTCGGGGACCTTGTGAGCGAGTCATACAATGATACCCCCGACGTACTCCGTGGAAAACATTTTAGGTCTGATTTTTATGTAGTTGGATTTCGTACTGTAAATGCCCTAAATTCCCGGCTTCCGGACTCCGGACTCGGAGGACTTCGTTCATCTAGATCCAATGACCACGCATCGTCTTAACCTGGTTTGGAGTTTTGCCTCTTATTAAAACCCCGACAGAAAAATGTATTGGTGACCTTTAGGTGGCTGGGTTCATGGTCTGTAAATCTCCACCTATCATTCTGTGTATCAAAATTTGCATATCCCGAGCCGTTCTTGCACTTAGACACATTATTTGTGTGTGCCAAGTGATTTTATTATCGACGGAATGAACTGATTGGCTTTTTTTTTTTTTTTTTTTTCAAAATCAAGATTGTGCTAGTGTTCCAAATCATGAGTCTCTCTGCAACAATGGGATATCTACTTGCAGATAGGAGCTTACGTTACTTATAACATCCATGTCCTGTTTTTGGTATTAGGTTACGACCTGCCTTAACTGGCATTTGACCAGGTGGTATTTGCTCAAGTATATAAAACTCGCTATTCCCATTCGTCTGTTTCTTCAGATCGAGTGGAATTTGGGGCATCACATGCCAATCTTGGTAATTCCATGGTGGAGTCAGGCAAAAAAGCATCAGTAGTCTTGCAGAACTGAGAGGCTGCGGTCAAATCATAGCTCTATCTACTCCATACTCCGTATGTATGTAGCAATAAGGACTTTTGTTAGCCCAAGGTCTATCATTTGGAAGCGATCACGAGAGACTCGTCCATGTCGGTTTCTTCCCCGGAGCCCATGATATAGATAGTGAAAAAAAATCTGCATGAATTGTAACACTCAAGAGCAGTGATATGCTACAGGGAGGATCAAAATTAGTTTCACCACTTTGCACTTATAGAATCTATCTCGAACCCTAGTCCGAAACACGCTAACCTAATTCCCGCTTAGCTTTGTTTTAAATATTGAATCGTATTGAAAGGCGCTATCACGTGTCATGTAGATTACTCATTTGTTCGTGTCAAGTAGTTACCAGGCTTTATGCATGGTGGAAATTACCAAGCCTTTACAAACCAGAAAATCAATAGACCGTCATGATAACGGCCCCGGGGTACTAGGCATACAAAAGTACATACATTGCTTAATCAGCGTTGCCCGCACAGATTATCAAAACAGCGGATTACTGTCAGTTTAGTTAATTAGAGATTATTACATATATACCTACATATGTCAATTTAAATAGATTGTTCGTACATAGTAGTACAGTCAGTGGACATATGTTTTAACACACCTATTGCCCCACATAGCTCACCGCCAGTATAAGGTCATACCGCCTACTTAAAAGGTATACGAAAATTATATATGTGACACTACAAAGGGTATTTTGTTGGCTACTGCGCGGTAGACATATATTAAACTAAAGTGTGACATCAAGAGTATCTCTCTGAAATAATGCGGCACTCGATAGAAGCTATTATTGAAAGCCAGGGGTTATATATACTATACTAGATTCATAGTATAAAAGTTTTTGACCGGCAATATATTATATAATCAAGGAGGTGTGGGGCCGTCCACTGTGTTAAACACATCCAAGGTTATGTCCAGTCACTGTAAGTGTCGATTTCCGTCAGTTCGTAATACTCTTACAAAGGCTAGTCTTGCGTCTCGTAGCCTTTTGAGCTTGTTGACGACATTTCCATCTACTTATTTTCTAACGAAGCCGAATGGAGCGAAAGGTTTAATCCTTTTCAAGGAGTGCGCATTACGCCAATCTATGATGGCACATTGTTTAAGAATTACATATGAAGCAGAAAATGCGGTGTGAACATAAACTGCTGAGCGTTTGAACTAAGCATCCGTATTCAGCCCTTTCTTCAGTATTCCCTATCACTTTCCCACTCCTCATCCGTTTGCCATTCCCCTTCGGTGTCCCCTGCCACTTCTGTTTCCCATGCTAACAATGTTTCAGAATTAGATAAAGTAGTGGGATGGTTTAGGCCGAGTGTTTGCTTCTGCTTGGTCAAGCACTCTCGTAGCAGAGATATAGCTTCGGCATCGTGGCCTGCAGATTTCCAGGTGAAAGCGAGATTAGCCATACTGGTCAGCGTGTCAGGATGGTCCTCGCCGAGCTTCGTCTTGCTTATCTCTATCACCTGTACCTCGAGCTGCTCGGCCTCTTCCCACCGGCCCTGATTCCAGAACGTCGACGCTAGGTTGGCCATACTGGTCAGCGTGTCGGGATGGTCCTCGCCGAGCTTCGTCTTGCGAGTCTCTATCACCTGCACCTCGAGCTGCTCGGCCGCTTCCCACCGGCCCTGATTCCTGTACGTCGACGCTAGGTTGGCTATACTAGTCAGTGTGTCAGGATGGTCCTCGCCGAGCTTCATCTTACTCGTCTCTATCACCTGTATAAAGAGCTGCTCGGCCGCTTCCCACCGGCCCTGATTCCAAAACGTTGACGCTAAGTTAGCTGTACTAGCCAGCGTGTTAGGATGGTCCTCGCCGAGCTTTGTCTTACTCGTCTCTATCACCTGTATAAAGAGCTGCTCGGCCGCTTTCCACCGGCCCTGGTTCCTATACGTCGACGCTAGGTTGGCCATACTAGTCAGCGTATCAGGATGGTCCTCGCCGAGCTTTGTCTTGCTCGTCTCTATCACCTGCACAAAGAGCTGCTCGGCCGCTTCCCACCGGCCCTGGTTCCTATACGTCGACGCTAGGTTGGCCATACTAGTCAGCGTGGAGGGATGGTCCTCGCCGAGCTTCGTCTTACGAGTCTCTATCACCTGCACCTCGAGCTGCTCGGCCTCTTCCCACCGGCCCTGATTCCAAAACGTCGACGCTAGGTTGGCTATACTGGCCAGCGTGTCGGGATGGTCCTCACCGAGCTTCGTCTTGCGAGTCTCCATCACCTGCACCTCGAGCTGCTCGGCCGCTTCCCACCGGCCCTGATTCCTATACGTCGACGCTAGGTTGGCTATACTGGTCAGCGTAGAGGGATGGTCCTCGCCGAGCTTCGTCTTACGAGTCTCCATCACCTGCACCTCGAGCTGCTCGGCCGCTTCCCACCGGCCCTGGTTCCTATACGTCGACGCTAGGTTGGCTATACTGGCCAGTGTATCGGGATGGTCCTCACCGAGCTTCGTCTTACGAGTCTCCATCACCTGCACCTCGAGCTGCTCGGCCTCTTCCCACCGGCCCTGATTCCTATACGTCGACGCTAGGTTGGCCATACTAGTCAGCGTAGAGGGATAGTCCTCGCCGAGCTTCGTCTTACGAGTCTCTATCACCTGCACCTCGAGCTGCTCGGCCGCTTCCCACCGGCCCTGATTCCTGTACGTCGACGCTAGGTTGGCTATACTAGTCAGCGTATCAGGATGGTCCTCGCCGAGCTTCGTCTTACTCGTCTCTATCACCTGCACAAAGAGCTGCTCGGCCGCTTCCCACCGGCCCTGATTCCTATACGTCGACGCTAGGTTGGCCATACTAGTCAGCGTGTCAGGATGGTCCTCGCCGAGCTTCGTCTTGCTCGTCTCCATCACCTGCACCTCAAGCTGCTCGGCTGCTTCCCACCGGCCTTCATCATAGTGCACCCTTGCCAGTGTGTTCCAGATGAAAACCTCACCCATCTCTATATTTTTTATGCAACTCAGATCAATATTCCTCACATCCGGAACATGCAAAATAAGATGACGACGAAACTGTGGCTGGTGATCTTCTTCTTTAATCTGAGAGCATGCAGCAAGCACAAATTTGGTGTACCACCACTCCCATTGTTGATTTTGATCGCGATGAATTGCCCGCCACTGGACTAGGCTGTGCATTATGGTACCAGGCCACTCTCCGTGCACTCGCTGTATCAGGCTGTAGCGAGCGAGGACATCTATGCTATGTCGATACGTGAAGTTGTCCCATTTCCCTTCGGTTTCCGGAAGAAACATCCGGATCTCAGTGGAAACCCCTTCGCCGAACTCGTCGACGACAGCAGACATACCAAGACTTGCCAAACGAAACATTTCATCCTGGACAATGGTACCTTGGAAATGTGCTAAGAATGTCAACAGTAGACCAGGCTGCAGCTGCGTATACTCCGTTTCAATTTTCTCCAGGGTGGTATCCCATACAGTCCAAACGGTTCTTTCCGTAGGGGAAAGCCCTCGAAGATGATTCATCTGCAAGAGCTCATCACGATGCTTCACATAGTCTTCCAAATACTGCCTAACGGATTGTTCAGGGGCAATACTATTACCAATGTACGCACCGGCAAGATCTAGTGCTAGTGGCAAATATCCAAGCTTATTCGCCACTTCATCGCAGTCATTTTGCACGGACTTTGGCAGCAAGTCAATATCATCTGACAAGTGGCGTAGAAGAACAAGTCTCGCTTCCCGAGGCGACATAATATCAATGCGAATTTTTTCACAGCCCCTATCGATCAGCTTTTGGCTTTGGTCATCGCGGCTGGTGATAACAATCTTCCCCCGGGTTCCCTTTGGCATAAGCTTTCTGAGGCCCCAAGTGAAGTCGTCGGCATTGTCGACGATAACTAGCCATTCGTCATCCACTTCGGTCCGGTCTCGAAGCCATCGAAGTACACCTTGGATGACGCGGTCGTCCACAAGAGCCGTGCTCTGTTGCTTTTCTTGTTCTTCCGGAAGCCCGATTTCCGCAGCGCATCTTATGAAACTGGATCGGACAGTCTCTTCACGTGTTGCATCAATCCAAAGTATCGGGTTGAACCGATTAACATTACTTTCTGTAAACTTCAGGGCTAACTGAGATTTACCTGCCCCCCTAATCCGTGCAGAGTGACTGCAAATGGAACGCTGGCGCTTTCGTGCCGTATTTGAAGCTTTTCTTCCAGCTCCTTCCAAAGTTGATCACGCTGAGTAAAGGTCTGTACTGTCTCGAGCGGGACAGAATAGAGGTGCTTCGTCGGTTCAACTAGAGGCGTCAATATTCTGGAGAGCTTCGATAAGATGCTATTGTAGCATTCATTTCTTGACTCGAACTTGTTCAATCCGTAGTGGTCAACGGCGAGACCAATTTTGCCGACCCCAGGATAGGTGGCCGAGCCCTCAGGAACACACTGGTGAAGATATTGGTATCAGTATGTTGCGTGCAGTTTTATAAGTCTACTCACAAATATTTGCCATCGAAAGAACCATAGTTGGAAAATACAAAGCGGCCTCTGCTCATAAAAGTTGACCACTTGCAAATCATCTCGTATACTAGTTATGAAATGTTCGTGTAAATCACTCAACACGAGAGAGTCGTATTCCAGATTAGCCAGGATTAATGGATTAGATCCTAGCGGTTGCAAGGCGAATGCTGCAAGCCGACCCCAAGGGCCAAAGCTAGTCCCGCGATGCGGTGTACCTAGAAATAATATCGCCCTTGTTTGCTCCACAATTTGATTGAACTCGCGTATCCGTTTGGCTCGAATAAGCGCCTATTGTATTTAGCTATGTCCCATGGAAAGAACCGCAGTTCGCTAACCTCTTTGACAACTAGACCTCCATAGCTATGTCCCACGAAGATCAGGTATCGACCCTGCTCCTATCGCGGAATAATCAGCAAGAAGCCTGGGTTGAAGGAGTTGCCCAAACTCACATGCTTCAGCTGACGGATCTGCCCGTCGATATGTTCGAGGAGATGGGTGCCGACGCTCTGGAGCCGCGTATAGACCGCATCCCTCTTCCAATATGAGTCATAATTATAGAAAAATATGCGAGCATCTTTACGGACCTCTGGAGGGAGGTCACTTGGAAGAAAGTCGCTGACCCAGTTCACGTATTGTTCACCGTTCGGTCGGGTTTCCTCGATTGGGTGTGAAGTGTTCGTGGATCTTCTCGCTCGCCACGTCGTGTCAGGGTTGGACCCGAGACCATGGACAAATATGATGCTATTTATGTCAGCAACATCGAAATACTCAACAGGGTGTATTCTTACTCAACCCCACGACCACGCGCGGGCACGTTGTAGCTCTTGACTGGGACAAGCTCGAATCTCGACCTTGGAGCTTGATCGGCAATGAGCCGGCTCGGAATTCTTTTAGTGACCCGATAATAGATGAATGCGACCGAGAGAACGAAAGTGAGTAGATACGGGATCGTGGGTTGATTCATAGCTGATGATTTGGCTCTGCCGCATGGGTTGCCCCTCTTTGACGGGCGAAGGCGGTTGGAATCGGTATTCAGCAGCAGAGGGTCGTAAATGACTTAAAATCCGAGTGGGTAAATAGTTGCTGGATCACGAGAACATATCAGCTATACGATTTCGGTAAGTTGGGTTGTTTCCAGCTGCGCAGTCCAGCCATCTGCGGCTGAATTGCAGGCGCTAGACCAGTTGATATAATTGGTGTCTAAGAGAGCGCTCTGCCCGATTCAAGTGGGGGCTGTGTATTCCAAGGCCCTACCAGCCTCTCCGTGGTGTGCAGTTCTGAGAAATATACAAATTCAACCCCTAGACCAGGTTCCGTTGAGGTGCTATGTCTACTTATACAGGCGCTCCATTCCCTGCATCGTGTGCTCTGGATACAGAGCTCCTGGAACGCCCTCCCGGCGCGAAAGATGATTCGGCACAATCGGAGAGCGAGGCAAAGACTATACAATATATTCCAGGAAATCCTGGTGTCGGACTTCTACGCAGTCAGGTCCATGATCATCTTTCCAATGAATTAGCAACCCCGCTCCTGGATGAGCTGTACACCCACCTGTGGCTAGTTGCAAAGAAATCTGGTCGTCATATCGACGCGCTGCATACGCAAAAGGTCAAGGGACGCGCTATTATCCCAAATGAAGACCCGCGACTCCATCTCATTTGGAACAAGAACAAGATCTACATCAAGCCTGTACCCTTGTATTTGGTGAACTATGAGTTTTGGGTACGGTATCTACAGCCTCTGAAGCGAGTATTATCGTCGGAAAAGTCTTCCCTTGTTCCCAAAATTCCCGAGCCAGCCGCTATGGTATTCGATAGCTCGATTGCAATAGGGTTTATGCGCTCATACGCATCTCTTATCAAGTGCCCTCTAGACCTTGCGATCGCAAAGGAGTGTTATCTGATTCCAGCTGATATTGACTGGATTGGATGGTCGATCTTCATCAATCACTTTCGTGTTGTTGGAGACGATAGGGTTGCAAAGCGATACCACTATGGACAGCTGCGTCTGTCCCGACTAAACTGGGCTGTCCGGATATTCCGTCCACAGCACACTAGCACCAGATGGTTCTACGAGAATTCCTACTGGTCCACTGGCGAGTTTATGGAGAGAGCAACTTTCCCTTTGGTCTTCCTATTTGCCAGCGTATCTATAGCTCTTTCATCGATGCAAGTTGCGCTCGCCGTTCCGGTGGACCGGCTTTGGTCTCATGGTTCAGGCGATCATGAGCTAAAAGAGATGAGCAGAGCATTTTGGCTCTTTTCTATTGCCGTCGTACTTCTGTGGCTGTTGACATGGGTTCTCCTCCTTGGTATTCCCCTTCTTGCTTTGTGTTCGCAAGTTTTCTGGGGACTCAGAAATCGAGAGAAACAGGCAAAAGATACCCCTACCGTCTAGTTAAGGGGTGGTGGGCGGGTCTAGTCCGGCGGCGTGGCCACCTAGCCGGCTGCAAGCCATTTAAAAAGTCCCTAGAAGAGCGAATCAGCAGCCGTAGAAGATAACCGAATCAAAGGGCGCTTACCAGTAGGAACAAAGAAAGCGTTAACGAAGTACGTAAGGTGGTGGGGGTCTTGCCAGCAATGTGGACCGAGATAGTATCAGGAGGATAGGCAACGTATTAGATTGTAAACACCCCGCTCCATCGATTCTTGCCCGAACACGTTTTCTTCGGTATCCAGCTAAGCGTCTCGCTCGTTGAGTATTCGCTTAGTGACCGATGACCTTCCTCTGTTCTCGACCCTACCCGAGGTAATTTTGTAGAGAGTCGTCCTCAATATATCTAAAGGTGATACTTAGCCTCAGTTTCTTAACTCGATTAAATAATTCACCCTACTTCAGCAGCTGCTTTTTAACAGCAGTCTAATCGATACCGAGATAGTCAAACCGTTTTATCAGGTCGCGTTAGGAGCGATCATTCACCGATACAGCGATCGAGGTATCATCCGACCTTACCCTTCCTTTACGGGGGATCTTCCCTTCTAACAACCTCTCAAGCTTACCCTTCAGGGTCTCCGGCCAATAAGCACTCGGAGTCAGGACTATATCCTCTTCGGTGTCTCGCGAGAGCACCTTATTCACTGTAACTTTCCATTCTATCGTATATTGGATACAGTTTGCCGGAAGCTCGTCACTTAGTATCCTATCGTACCACTCGGATAGCTGAAGCAGTCTGGGTCTTTCGGGCTCGTGTTAGCACAGGTCTTCTAGATCGTGCTCGGAGTGATAGTCGGGAGAAGGGCTAAGCCCACAGCTTAATACAGGTGTGCGACCGTAGTATCCTGGAGTGGGAGTACATTGCGAATCTTGGTCTCCAGGTTCAAGGACATGCGGTTGAAAATCACGTTCATCGGGATATGAGTCAGTAGTCATCGTCTTCGTCTAAACGCTCCAAAGAATCCAACGTCAGCATGATCACAACCAGTCAGTCAAGCAAATACTAGTCTTCCATGAGAAGGTCAGGCTTGCTACACAAAGCAAATAAATATTACCCACTGTTACTGTCTCTATACACCGCGCTCGGTATAGCGGTACGCGGTTGACGGGAGTGGAATTCGAATTCCTGCTACATCTCCAGACGAGAAGAGCAGACAACCCCTGTGTTTGACCTGTTTGTAGGGTCAACGTTCTATATATGTAGAAACACTTCACTTGTATATGTAGAAACACTAAGAACCATACAGGTCTAACACAGAAGCTATTTTTATACTGTCATTTACACGTGTATTGAATTACTGCCAAGACAGGGGTTCAGGGGAAGAGTAAATGTAATAAGTAGTATAGCATGTTTCAAGAGAGGGTTCGAGATAGATTCTCCGTGTGCAAGTGGTGAAACTAATCTCGATCCATCCTGTAGCCTAGCATAGTTATCTATTGGTGGGGCTTAAACAGTAACATACTTGTTCAAATTGATGACTTACATGTAATGTGACAAGTACATAAGAGTGAGAATGCCTTGTTTGGGGGGGGAAATGGGGCGCTGATATTTGACGGAAATACGCATCTTTCATTAGAACCTTCTTATAGCTCAATGGCATTCTCCCGAGCGAAACTAGCCTTAAGCTTTATTGAGTCGTGATAGGGAGATGGTTTGGTTTGACATTACCTGGTTTGACATTACCTGGTTTGACTGAAGGCGTGGATAAACCTAGGTGGGGGTTTTCCTTCTTTTTTCCCTTTTATTGTCTCGCCTGTTTGACACTTCTACGAAAATAGTATCTCTATGTACGAGTTATATTCAAAAAGAACCAAAAATTGACTTCCTTACTTGGGCAATGTAGAACGGAAGTGTCACATGACATCGCGTTTTCACGCGCCTCCTTCTCACAAGCACCCGACCATTGGTCAAACACCCCATATGTCATGGATCCGATCTTAGATGGCTTGAATCATGCCCAACGAGAAGCCGTCACTTCATCCGGCTCAATCCTCCAAGTACTCGCACCACCGGGCTCGGGCAAGACAAAAACATTGACCGCACGCGTCGCGTACCTGCTCTCGCATCACGGATACCAACCGCAAGATGTTATCTGCTGCACATTCACTATCAAAGCCAGCCGTGAGATGCGGGAGCGGCTTGCAAAACTCATCGGAGAAAAACTCGAGTCGCGCTTGATTCTCGGCACTTTTCATTCCATCTGTCGTCGCTACTTAGTTAAGTATGGATACTTGATCGGCCTGCGGAAGGGGTTTGGAATTGCAGATTCGGATGATACCCGCGCAATTATCAGAGTATGACTAGCACTTTCATATTATATCCGCTTGTTTCTCTTTCTCTAATTGTGGCTGCAGAGAATCATTAAACGACTGAAGTCTAGTACTGAAGTCAGGGCGGCGCAAGGCCGAATTTCTCAACATAAAGCACATGGACTCAGTCCTGATGCACTGGCCGATAGAGCCAAAGCAGAGGAGATGGAGCTTGTTGATATCTATCGTGACTACGAATCAGCACTGGCGGCTTCCAATCTCTTGGATTATGACGACCTCCTTCTGCGATGTGGAGATCTGCTTCGAGAACACCCACAATGTGTCTCAAATGTGCAGGCTGTCTTAGTGGATGAGTTCCAAGACACCAACATCATACAATATGAACTGATGAACCTTTTCGCATCCAAACACCGACGGATCACCATCGTCGGAGATCCGGATCAAAGCATCTATGGCTTTCGTTCTGCGGAGATCCAGAATCTCAAACGGATGCAGCAACGATATTCAAACACGACGGTTGTACTCTTGGAAGACAATTACCGCTCTGCGGGTTCTATCTTGAATGCAGCCCAAGAAGTAATTGAGCAAGATACAGCTCGGCCTGCAAAAGCGTTGTTGGCCACTCACACTTTTGGAACCTTGCCGGTGCTAAGAAGGCTCCCAAATCCCAACGCAGAGGCGCAGTGGATGGTACTTGAGATCAAGCGGTGTGCAGCGATGACCGGCAGTATATTGCGCATGTCTGACTTTGCTGTCCTGCTTCGGTCAGCTTCGCTGTCTACACAAATCGAGACGGCCTTTGGAAGAGCAGGTATACCATACAAGATGGTTGGAGGCCGAAAGTTCTTTGATCGAACTGAAGTCAAGATTATTCTCAATTATATGAGGGTTGTGAGCCACACGGGACATTCGGACGCATTGATGAATATTGTGAATGTTCCGCCACGAAGGATTGGCGATGAGACAATCAAGCAATTGACTAGTGGTGCGGAGAAGGCCAAAATTCCACTGTGGGACTTCATCAAGGATGTCATCCAAGGGCGCCGTTCAACCGAGAAGAAACTACAAAAGGCTGCAGAGCAGGGACTTTGCGTTTTGGTCAACTTGATTGAAGCCTCTAGACAGAAGTTGCAAGAGTGTGAGGATGCATCGGCTCCACGTGTTCTGATTGAGTTCATTGCCGAACGTCTGTCGTTCCAGGAGTATCTCATCAGAGCATATCCCCTTGATGAGGACAGTCGCTGGGCGAATGTCAAGGAATTGATGCATCAAGCCAGTGAAGTCGCAGCGTTTGAAGAGGAAGAGGTTGATAAAGAAATGGACCTCCCTGAAATCGAAGGTGTGGAGCAGCAACAGGCCCATTCTGGCGAGGAGGCTCTCACTCGGTTCCTGGCAAATGTCGCTTTGGCTACGGAGATCACAACTAAAGAAGAAACCAAGGAGGGAGACCAGCCGCAGGAGAAAGTCACTCTTTCAACTATCCACGCTGCCAAGGGCCTAGAGTGGCCAGTCGTGTTTGTTCCTGCGGTATACAATGGCAGCATTCCTCACTCGCGAGCGGAGGTGGTAGAAGAAGAAAGACGATTGCTGTACGTTGCAATGACAAGAGCACAGGCCCTGTTATACCTGAGTATTCCTATTCGACAACCCCGGTTAGGAGAAGGAGAAGATGGTGCGACCACTCTGTCGACATTTCTTCCTCCCAAGTTGACCAAGTCGCGCTTTCGGGCAACGGGGCCGTCTCTTCATGAGAAGGTGGTGTATGCGATTGCCGATATCCTGCGTCGCCCTCGGCCATCTTTAGAGGACATCTATAAGGGGCTTGAGTTTCTTCCATCGACGCTGGACGACCGATGGACAGCCGAGGGCGAGGAAGACCGCAGTAAAACTGATGAGACATCTACCTCTGGTGAGCCTAATCCAAAGCGACGACGGTCGGACATGAACCAGGGGCCCAAATCGACCACCTACATCTCATCGACCGGGTATACCATGAATAACTCGACGGGGTTTACAATTCCTACAACCATTTCATCCGGTTTTACATCTGCCCGGGATTATATCGCCGCCAACCCCGAACCCACCGCAGACTCAGCCTCAAAGCCTCCGTCGGGTGCTACTGCAGATGCAGATACAGCTGGGGCAAACAAACCAAAACCGTTCAGCAGCGCCAGCCGTAAAGACGGACTCACACAAGCAAGCATATCGAACTTTTTTGCAGGCCCAGGATCCCAGAAGAGGGAATCGAGTCTGCCTAGCTATACACAGCCACCATTCCGCAGATACGAAGCACCGCCGTCGCAGAACCAACGTCAAGGGGCAAGGAGCGTCGTCCCGGCTCCTCTCTCATCTCACCGTGTTCAGCCTCGGTCACTTGTTCCAACACGGCCAACCCTAGAGCCTACGAACCTAAATGGCTACACGTGGCTGGCAACCCCATCGAGACCAACCCTGAAACCTGCCAGGATGTCGATGACGCAGGAACAGAGCGGCACTTCCGCTAGCGGGACAGCCGGGGCAGATGAGATGAAGCCCGAAAGCTCCACTCGCGGATTCCAGCCAGTGTCGACGTTCCACAGCACCACAATGTCGATGATTCAAGCACAAGCCCCGCGACGGACGTTGGGAATTCGGCGGAGCATGAATGGGTGGCAAGATCGGATGAAGCGAGAAGGCGGTGGACATGCAAGCTGACACGATTTACGATTTCGGGGGAGGCTAGTCTAGAATCCGGGATTGGTATCTATGTTCACGAGACCAAGTCAGGCAATCCACATACGTTTCAAAAACTCATTCAGGCGTTGCTAGGGAAGCCCGGGAGGTTTACTCAGCTTGGAAAGTGATTGACCAAGAAAGGGTTGACTCCAGGGCTAGAATCTATCGGTCTGGTTGGAATGACGCACATGCGTGTCCCTACCAACGGAGGCTATGAGTTGTTTATGCACCACTCTATAGGGAGATGTATCTGTACCTAAGTTTCATAATTATTATTTTCCCCATGGGATAACCCTGCATCGGGGCAGATCTTCCGATGGAGCCTAATACAATTAGGCAGGCTTCTGACATAAAGACTATCAATATTTGAATAATAATTGAGACCTGAGATTCTGGACCACAGTGGAGATCAATGTTCCTGCGGTGAAAGGGAAAAGCCCCCTGGTTGGGCCATTTCTGCGTATCTCAGGTATGGAGTCCGGAGTAGAGGATTATATACACGCACTTGTGTAGAGCCGCCATTGGCGCAGAAGTAATCCTAGCGGTGAGGGAAGCGAGGAATCCCCCCAACGCATTAAACTGGGGATAGTCATTTTTAGTTACACGTCCAATTCTGTAAATAGTAGGAATGGCTGACTCATCATTATTGGTAAGATTACTGTATCATGTATACTAGTCTATTTTCCGCCCCAACCCTAGTAGGTTCTATCCTGTATAATTGGCTGCCCTACTTTCAATCTACACTCTAAGCCAATCAATGCTTCAATCGTGGCAGATGTAATTACCAGGAACCAAAATACAGCCAAATACGTCAGGGGGTAGAGGTGATCCATTCCGCGATACCTCTTTTGACACTAGTACGCTCCGTAGTTAGGAGCTCGTAGTTCCCCAGAGTGTAGATCGCGTGAAGCTCTCAATGTGGAATGGCTTGCTATACAAAAAGAAAGGCATCGCCCTACTGTTCACTTCATTGTCATCAAAAACTACAGCACATCAAACATCACTATTGTCTTCTATTTATATTTTTTGTTTTTCAATCTTTCTATCTTTTGTCTATATCTTATTGTCTTTATAATCTGCTCACAGTTCAACACTGGTGTGCTTCCTGACGCTTTCTATACATATCTCGTCATCTCTTTGCCTCTCTACACTCAACCTCTCTTACCTCTACCTATTTAATACCCTAATATCCCTCTCACCCTCATCTCCACCAACTCCCAAACAACAACCCATTCCTCCCACTCTTCCGCCATTCGTCATGCCACACAAAGTGAACAATTCCAACTCGACGCTAGCCAGTAGAGGCAGCAGCAATGACCAAGTGGTAGCCACCGAGGTCCGCAGTCTGAGTATGTCAATTCCATCCCATCCCTGTCCTCAATCTCCAGATCCAGCCTGAACTAATGCAAACCCTAGCAACCAATCCCGTCCGCAAACCTCCGGTGGTTGTTCACAACAAGGGCGGCCGAATCTACGATGAAACACGGCCGTCTGACTGGGACAAACAACGCTGGAAATAGTTCAATGTTGTGCTTACAACTTGACTTGCCTACTGTATGCATTGCCTCAATGACATACGTAGGTGGCCCGCCAAAGACGCGGATCCCAGCTTTTTTTACACGCGCGTTACAATGGTGAAAAGAAGTCCAGACCAAAAGAAAAGACCGAAAAGATCGGAAATGTCAAGAAAAAAAGGAAAAGTGAGGCGATGATCGACAAACATTATTTGGGGTGCTAATTGGACGCCAAAACCCCCTTTTTTGGCTGCTCGTCACCGCTCGACTCTTTTTTCTCTGCCGCCCCTGACCAAATCGGGCCGTCTACTTTTCTAATTGCGCTGGATTCTCTGATTTATCGGGGCTCTTGTGCCGCTGTGCCGCCGTCCCGTTTTCATTCCTATTGCCTCGCTGACCTGAATCCCTGCCTCTCCCCGGATTTTCAGGTCCCCACTCTTGCTGGCTGTACTTCTCCTTGTATCATTACTTCTGGAGTTCCGGAGGTGTTCTGCTTACTTTCTTTGTCTCTCCTCTCTTCACTCTCTACTAGGGTTCACTCTTTGTGTTCCCCTACTTGTCTCCTTTCCTTTCACCCCTTCTACCTTTCTACCCTTCCACCTCTACTAGTTAGTGTGGAATACGTGTTACCTCTCGGCATCTTTACCTAGCAGCTAGCTGCATGTTCGCTGTGAGGACTAATTGGCTTGACACCCTCTTATTTTTTCTTTTGTTTGTTATGCATAGCGTGGGTATATTATTGGATCTGCTGGACCTGGATTTATTGCGAATGAGCGAAATTGTAATCTGAAGAGAAATATCACTGTTTTATTATCTATTAACCTTCACCTTATTTGTGGCTGTTTCCTTTCCTTTTGTAAACGATGGACCTCTGAATTACCTGTTCAAGTAAGCTTTGCCTAGTCTCTCACGTCTCCATTCTTCCTGCCTCCCTCTGTCATGTCCAGCAAAAAGGGGGTAACAAGCCCTTATATACACGCATGGCTCACAGCCCCTCTTTAAACAGCTAGGAATTGGGGGGCTTCGAATGTTCAAAATGAGCACAAGCGAGGTAAAAAAAAATAGCTCACAGTAAGGGGGTGAAAGGCATGGAGCGGTAGTCTCGCTTTGGGGGTTTCGGGTAGAATATATTCAATCCTTCCTCAGTAGCCCTATATACAACCTTATGATCCCTGTTATATATATATGAGATTACATGTTAATCTTCGAACACTATTGAAAGTCTCCTTCACTGCTTCACATTCCTGCGCCGCGGGAAACTTTTCACAAGATTGTAAACTATATTAAGCTCGCCAGCCCAGAATAGCGTCAGGGCCATAACAATGACAGTCAATGGAATGGACACTGCCCAGTAGATCCATTGTCCGCTCTCGATATCGCGAATGTCACTAGTGTTCATACCAAAAATACTCGAAACTGTATTCAACGGAAGGAAGATGATTGTCACGATTGTAAAAGCGTATATTGCGAAGTCTTGGCGGCTTTTATCGTTTTGAATCTTTTTCTCGTTCTGAAGTTATTCAATCTTGTCAGTGGGTGTTCAAGATACAATCCATGAGCCGGTGAGAATAGCCCCTTCGCAACATACCATTTCCTCAAGTGTAGAGGCCTGGAACATAAGCTGGCTGAATTCCTCCGCCGTTCTATCAATCAGATCCTTGCAGTCTTTGGAGAAGCTGTTGCGTACACTGATAAGACTAATGGGGGAGTTCTATTGGCCGTCGGAGTAGCTCTTGGATTCATCATTAGTTTCACTCGCTACCCCGGAATTTCCTGGCTTGGAGAGTGTATGGGCTGGATGATCTCCTAGAAGCTTCGCTCCCTGAGGCTCTCGCTGTGTTCCGCTTCTCGTGTCGACCGTTGGTACAGCTAAAGCGCCCAAAACCGCTCTTTGTTCTGCTAGCCTTTTTTGTATCAACTTCATTTGGGTCTGCAGGAATTCAATTTCGCCCTTATGAGATATATCCAATTGATCGAGTTGTACGCGCTCTTTCTGCTCGTCTATTAGCACTGCTCTTCTTCTAACTCGTTTGTTTTACTTCCTGTCATGCTATAGCCGGATACTCACCAATCCGCCCAAATACTTGGTGTAGTTGTTGAGAATCAATTCAATGCCTATACCTGGAGATTGCTTACCCAGGAGGTGGAAACCGATCAAGGTCGCAACATCCAGGGGTAAAATCACCTTTGACTTCTGGGGGAGCAGCTTGGGGAAAGTATCCTTCACTGCCGCAATCCCCAAGTCAAGTAGACCTAAGCAGGTGTTCATGTGTTTACGAGACCGACGTGGCTTTTGTTTAACGTAGATCATAGGCATCAGAAGGTGCATCCAAGCTTTCTCCAGTGGGTGGGACGATTTGTCAGTTGGGCGTTTGATCAGATCAGTACGCGAGAATAGAAGCTTAACCGGTTGGATCCGCATTGATAAATCAATCAGCTGGTCACTATAGCCTTTGATTGAGCCTGTCTCTTCCTGTATTTCGGATTGCAAATTCTATAAATGTTATCATTAACCTTGCCATACTTATCCGGATTGGGGGGTTTATTCCATTGCAAGCAACCTACCTCAATGAGAAAGTATACCGCACCCCAGTATTTCTTCAAAACGGGGTCTTCAAAATCAGGAGGAAGGAAGAAACTGTATATCGATTCGGCGGCCTGCGCAGTGCGCATCGCTCTAGAGGTAGCGGGCTCGGTTTCTCCGAAAAGCCCTCGTACCGCATCGGAATCCAGTAATGATGCTCTGCGGTAAGAGCGAGAGTCAAATTTCTGATCTTGAAGGAACTTGTCCATTGCTGCTAGACGGTTCCTTATTCTAACGCCCTTCCGATGATCTGAACCGTTATCATCATCCCGTAGCGTTGTGTCCACCTCGGTGAGCCACTCGAATACGGTGAATCCACCATTTAGCTCTGAGAATGGGATCTCGGATCCCTCACTAGAGCGAATTGCTTTAGTCATCGTTGCAGGCCATTTCTTAGGTCTGGTGTTTCGTTTCATACCTGATGTTTAGTACCAGCTTGATGTCAAGCTCCCCGTTGATCAAGTCTGCATATTTAACAGAGTCAACAGGTTTGCCCTCGTGCGTGAAAACTATCTGACGAGTGTTCAGTTCGACAAAGTGTGAGAGGAAGTTCTGGTCTCATTAGACTCTGTTTTCATAACTACTATCGCTTCGAAGGCAAGAGATGGGGTGTGGACATACTGGCCATGTAATACAGTCCTCCAAAGGCAGAGACCACATGACTCTCTTCTCAAAAGAAACAAAGATCTTGCGAGGACGAATCCGGGGGGGCTGAGCAGTCTGACTTGGAGGTGGAGATTGAAGTTTTATGCCTTTGAAATCAGACAATTCCAGATCTCCATAGGTAACAAGAAGGGCTAAAACGTTAGTCTCGCGATATGAATGGATCTCGTTAAGAGAACCTACAGTTGTTCATCTCAATGGCCCACAATTGTGCAACATGTAGACACTTGCCAGTTTCGGTGGACTGCATGTGACTCATGACTTGCTTCATTTCCTGCTCTGGTTTCAACAATAGATCCTTTAGCAATCTCCGCATAGGATAAGAATCTGTAAATGCATTCAGGTCATTGTGCAGCAAATCAAAGCGAAAGTATGGAAGGCAGAGCCAGGACACCACGCCGGTGTCAATTTCCCCGTACGGAAAAGTCTCAGTCAAATGACCGGGTTTCATGTATCCATCGGTTGTACTAGAGCTTGGCTCATGATCGTATTCTTTCTTGACTCTCTGGAGAAGCTTGTCGAGTGCTCTTTGCTCACTATCGGGCAAGCCAGGTATACTCTTTGCATTCTCCTATCTCACACAATGAGTATGCGGGATCAATCCGCGGCTGTTCACTCAAATAACGATGACATACTTTGAGCTCGTTGAACCGCATTATTGGTCTTTTCATGTGACTGCAAGGTATGGTGAGCAAATAAATCCCCCAGTGGGTGTAAAGAAATTTTCATACATCCACCGAAATAGAGCCGGACTGCTGTCCGTTTTCGATCTTACAACCTGAAAGTTCACCCCGGTTTCCCCTTGAAATTCGATCGGATGAACGTCATAAACTGTTGAGTCGCTGGGAAAAGACTTGACAGAATCGGGTGATGTCTTTTTTTGAGTTTCCTCGCCACCTGCAGTCATACGCACTTCAGACTGTTCGCCAACGGTGAAAAATGCGTAAACTTCAACTTCGATGTCGTCTGATTCGTCCTCACTCTCATCAGCCTCGGTGGTAGAGGGATTATCTGCCTCCGTTCTAATCTTTCTGTCAATACGCTTGTAATCAATGACCATTTCGCGACCGGTGCCCATTTCGGAAATAACTAGGACACGGATACTACCACGTCCCTCTTTGAAAACCTCTTCAATGCGGTCAAAAAGCGATTCTTGAACCATCACCGGAAGGTGCAGCTTGACATCGCCAGTTTCAGTCATAGCCACGACTACGACCCAGCTTAGTTTGTATCTTGGGGCTCGTAGAAAGAAGATGAGGGAGAGATAATGGTTAGGGGAAGACATTTGGTCATACCTGTGCCATCAGACGAGTCCATGTCCAGTAAGCGATATGTTCGAAAGACCGGTCCTGACATGGTCTGAACGATCACATCTGGCGAGGGATTGGATACGAAGGATCTCTCCTGATGAAGTTTTCGGGTAAATAAGTCAACACCCATGTATAAGTACTGGCCTGTTTGTGGATTGACTAAGATTCGAATAACCTGACATGGCCGTTCATTGAGGATCAATACGTCGCCAATTCGAATAAAATTACAAGGAATAGGGACAGATGCTTGATATCCGTCGGGTATCCCACGGCCCTTATCCGGAAGGGGTGGATCGCTATTTCCATCATGCTTTCGGGGTTCAGAAGCTTGCTCATCATCGTAGTGACTTACTCGCTCGGAAGTGGTACGGCGAGGAAGCACCTGGGGCACATCTAGGATAAGTTGGTTTTCAGGCTATTTGGTCAGCACAATGCTATGGTAATAGTACCGGGAAGGGCATATCCAGCAGCTCTTACAGCTCTCCTATCGGAATGATAATTCCCTTCGTCATCGTAGTATCCCATAGTCAGGACGTTTTCTGGCTCATGCGATTGAAACTTTGGCCAGGAGAAGAACTTCAACGCTGCTCTGAGGAAGTAGATGTCACTTTACATTATGGTGTGATCAAACTGCATAATCGGGCGTTCATGCAGTAGTCGCTTTTTGGCCTGGGCGCGTATCAACCATGTTACAAGCTATCTTCGGTGATGAATTAATGTCTCAGGTGTAGTTTTTTAAGCCAGGGCTGTTAGAGAGTTACATAAATGGCTTCGCATTTGTAGATATCATGGATACTCAACGCCAGCAATGTTTGGACAGAGCCGGGGAATAACTAGCGATGCTGGGCGGATACAGAATAGAGATGGCTCGCCGACCTTTGGTATGGGTGGAAAGACGGCGGGGAAGTGAGGTGTGATTGAATAGTATAGCCTCTAATATATGTATATTGCTAATTTTGTGTCAGACAAAGTTGGTTTATATATCATGCGGACGACCCTCGAGCATTGTAATGTATATATTGTCAGAATAGCAACGAAAATGTCAACGTTAGCAATATATCCAGAGCAGGGGAATGGACATCCAAGCCGATACGGAAAGAAGAGCTGTAGAAAGATATTGACATGTTGTTTCCGGCCTTTTCATGTATAACCTCTGCAACAGAGCTATGGGTGCCATGCAGCAACTCGTAGACATAATCGACAAAAAAACGAGTCGAGTACTTTACAAGACTAGAGACTACAATTCTACAGGATCAAAAGTTCACTGAAAATGGGATATAATTCAGGGCCAAGCGGCAAAACCGACAACCCCATTCTCAAATCCACACAAGAGATAAAAGAAAAAAGGCACCTTGCTTCCCGTCTCCAATGATGGATGATGGGCAGGCTTGTAGGGCATGTGTCAAAGGCTAGATACAAAGGAAGAGGAGATCAGAGGGAAAAGGAAAGGCACCATAAGTCCAACGAAATATGGACTCGGTGGCCTTTCCTCCCCAGAAGACATATAATTTTTTCCGGGTTTTCACACTTTTTTGGCTTTTTTTTTGTGACCTCATGAATCTGCTCTCCTAGCATGAGACAATTGGATGTCACCAGACAGAAGGCAGACGCATGCACGTTGTACAGAAGAGTGAACGTGAGGAACGAGGCACATGAAAAAAACGGATTTGGATGGGTTTTTTGAGGGTGAAGGGGTAGGGGTTGGGGGTGATTGGGAAGGCAGTCATGCTGCTAAGGATCGTGGAGGGCAGGGGGGGGGGGGGGGGCTGGGATATCAAAAACGCGGGATATCAGAAACGCAGCGCGAATTGGCGCGCAGAAATACAAAATGTCGAGGGTGCGTGGTATTCCTTGACAGGTAGAAGAGAAGTTAATATGAGGGGAGTTGAAAACAGCAAAATGTATTCTTGAAACAAATAAATCAACATGGCTCGCGCTCGCAATGCTAGATGGTTAAATCAAGTGCAACTGATGACCCAAGACTAATGGGTATGTGGAGCAAATGGGTATGCAATTTTTGGAACAGGAAGTGAAGGGCTGGTCTCGACTCTGGTTCCGTAAAACCAGAGCCAAATGCAAAGCGGAAAGGACGAAAGTAGATGCAGTCGAGTTTGGGGGATATAGCACAGGTCGACACAGCTGATGTGGCGCATTGAGTATTAAGATGGAATATCGAGGTGTATCAATGCAAAATCGGATGCTCCTCGGAGTCATTCTATGAAGATGAGAAATGAAATGAAGTGCTGGAAATATATGCAATAACCAAATATCGTTTGGATTGCTGTTCGTTCCGTCGTTTCTTTTACATCCCACTCTGATAGGTTTGGCTCATTCCCATGTGGGTAGGTGCCATAGGGAATTGCTGGAGCGCTGCTTGCTGGGCCATGTACATAGCCTCCTGCTGCTGTTGGTATGCTTCACTGTTCATGTATTGCATCTCAGCGGATGGAGCGGGGGAAGGGGAACAGCCCTGGTGCGTAGTAGGCATTCCGCGTGTCATATCATGGTTCGCCATTTGTGTATGAGAATGCACAAGTGCCTCGTTGTCTGGTGTGATGGGAGGAGTGAGGTAACCATGAGGAACAGCCGTCAACTGCTGGGACTTCTGGGGGGTGGCAAGGCCCATCTCCCCATTGTACGGCTTGGACTCGATGGGAGTCTCGACCGGAGGGGTGCAACGGGCGTAGTTTGCCAATGAGGCTTGGCGGCTGAGGAAGTGCTCCATGACCTTGGAGACCCGGGAGTAGTGAGGGGAAGCGTACTTGCGAGCGACCACGGTGGAGGGCTGGTGCAGCTGTTGTGACAAGGCAACGAGAGTCGTCGAGTCATACTGCGATGACCAATGGGTGTGACGAGGCTGCGGTCGGTTAAGAATGCAGCGCGACAACGCAAGGGCGGCACGAGCAAGCTCGGACGACAGCTTGGCGACAAAGTCCCGGTGGAACAAGGCAATCTCCAGGATGTATAGAGCCATGTGTTCCACCTCGGGGTCGTAAGCATCGTCCAGGACAGCGTGCTGTAAGAAAGCATCCACAGTCGGGTGTCCAATAGACCAGCCAAGAGTTTGAAGGACATGCCATTCCATCTGGGTGAACATATCGTCATCGTAGAGAGAGCAGCACATCGACTTCAATTCCTTGATGGTGGGAACACGATCCTTCTTGTCATTGTACTTGGCCGCAATGAGTAGGGCTGCACAGCCAACCAGCTGATAGTGACGCTTGTAAACCACACGCTTGGAGCAGTATCGGTCCAGAAGGTTGATCGCCAAGAACAAGGTGGATGGTAGAAGCTGGAACGCAGTGTGAGCCTCAATCAAGAAGTCAAGAAGGTATGGCCGCATGAACCACTGGATCTCGGTTTGGATGTCAATAGACTCAACGTCGGGCAGGGTTTGATTCTATACGATGATTAGATTAGCAATGTAGGAAGGAACGATGGAATCCGATCTACACTCACATCCATTTCCAGCATGTGACTCAGGACATCGTCCCGAAGCTGCTCACATGTGAGATTAGACAGTTCATCTGCCATGACATACTGACGCTCACGAGCCATCTGCTTGTCATGCTCCTGCTTCGCCTGCCGCTCTTGCCGAATCCGACTTTCCATGCCGTACTCTTCTTCAACGAAGAAGGTTGGGCAAGGACGGTAGTTGCGATGATAATCCATGATTGCGGAATTACTTGGATGGACCGAAGTATGAAGCACAAGTTGATGTATGAGGTTTGTTTTGCCGAGTTTCAATGAACGGAAGCCTGAAGAATGAATCTATCAGGCAACGACGGAATTAAGAGAGTGACAGTCGTGGTATTAGTGTATTGGAATGAGTGACGGGGGTTGTAACGATTAATGAGTGGAATCAGCCAGAAACAATAGTTCAAATGCTGGGAAAAGGTGGCCGGGAGGTCCGAGGGAAAGTCTTCGAAGGCTAAGGGCGAAGAAATTAATATCAGCGGAGGCCGATGTAGAAAGAAATGATTAAAAGACTGTAACGTCCAAGTGACGGGAAAGTAAGAGAGTGTGAGAAAGCAAAAAGCACAGCGAGGTAGAATGTAGAGATGTATGTATCCATCCAGGAGATAGAAAGGGCCATCACTCCTTCGGAGAAATACTAACCCAGAAAAGAGCCTTCGGGCAGAGGGCACAATGCAACCCTTACCGTGAGGGCAAGACTGGCATCTAGGCAGGAATGATCCGATGAATCAAGATTCTGTTGGATACCAACGAAGAGATGAAGTACGAGTCAACGTCTTCACCCCTAGGCTAGTGCTGCGGAATGTGGAGTGAAGGAGAATAACCCTATGAAGGGGGTTACGATCATCAGGGGTGATGTCTTGGTAACGGAATGATCACGAACTCACACTTCACGAATTGACAAGTTGAAAGAATAAGGCTCAGTGAAGAGACTGATAAGAGTTAGATGGAAAAGACGCTGATGTTTCAAAGATGAAGTCGAAGTCGAAAGAGACAAGTGGGTTTATATCGAAGATTCAGATGAACAAGTCCTGAAGTAGGCAACCATGTCAGTCATATATTTGTTAATAGTCCAATTTGCAGTAGTTAATAGTCCAAAATGTCAATGCCAATCAACAATCAGCGCCAGTCAACGACTAATTGCAACGAGGTATGTGGTGTCGCAGCCTGATAATCGCCCCGACATTCGGTATGTCCAGTGGGAGGAGTATGGAATTTTCATCAACCCCTTAAAATCTTCCCCCGCCGGGGGGTATAGAAGCAGTCCAAAGAGCTGGCTGGACCCTGGCATGACATTGCATGTCAAGCAGAAATATATTCATTCCAGAATTGTATTAGAGAACAAAATTCCCCGTCTGCATGGACGACAATCTTTATTGCTCAATAAATCGCTACCCCCCAATGTCTGGCTCTCGTCGTGTGTTGTCTGTGGGAAATGCAAAATCGGAGGTATATGAGGTTGGGATTGCTGGGTGTTTGGACATGGCCCTGAGACCATACCATCTTTAAGCCCGGTGGGCCAATTTTTCATGCACTCTGGAAAAGATATTTTTTTTTCGGTGTGGAAATTTATTGAATCTCTTGGCTCATGTTGAGAAAATTCGAGTATCGGTTGTTCCTCTATCCATCGGGGCGTTCCGACCTTGACACCATGCACACCTCAAAGCACTAACAGGGAGAGGGAAAAAAAAAGGGATTTCTTCCTTACCCAAGTTTTGAAGCTCAATTTCAAATCTGATACCGAAAACGAATTCGTATCAACAAAGAAGTTAATGTGAATGGGTTTCCTACGCTGTCGCTCGTCTAACCGGCAGGAGCTGGAACAGGAGGGACCAAATCGTCAAAGGTCCGAGGATCAGGGAGGCACCGGGCGGACAGGGACGAAGGATCGCCGTTTGAGTTAACAAACGTCGAATTGGAAGATCAAGTTCGAAGGTGAAATCGACTTGATTTGAGTGCCAGTGCAGCGGGCCGAAGGAGATTGCGTCGACTGGAATGTCGTCGAACCGTAACTCAGCCAGTAGACCAGACTCTGGTTGGTAGGGAGG